TATAAAGAGACCAAATAGGAGACTACATTTTTTTACTGTCAATATGTTTAACATCGCATACTGTAGTTGTATAAAACATGCATTTTCTGGGATAATTATGAACACGTCATGAATGAGCCCACATAAATTATATTTTTTGTACAACTCCAAGTTAAAAAAAAAAGTCAGATTAAGTGCCTCTGAGGCCTTTTCTTCCCAGCTATCAGTTCTCAAGACACACTACTGAAATATTTATCTATGCCTACAGCTATGTGCTAGAGAACCAAATTTAAAAGTTTAAAATACACCTACAGTATGTTTTTACTTAAAGTTTGTGACAGTCCTCGACTATTGTGTTGTGAAATGTAAAAATAGTCACAGATTCTTTTCTTGTTTTCCAGAAATAAAAAACACATCTAGGAGAGTATGCAAAAACAAGGCAAAATGAAGTTTCATAGCACTTAATGAGGGTTAATATAAGTCAATAACTAATATTGAGGTTTGTAAAAAGGGCTGGATGAGCAGTTACATATACAAGCAAATGGTCAGGTAACTCCAATGGTATCACATGTTTCTGTAACCAACACTTCCTCCACCCTTAAAACCAGTCGTATACATTCAGAATAGGCTGACATTGATATACTTACTAGGTGTAGAAATAGTGCACTATTTTTTCTGCCACAAAGCAAAACTGCATCCTAAGAGCTGGTAAACCTTCTTTTTTCCTTAAATAGAGAGAATGGGCAAAAAAAACTCAGAAAAAAAATTTAAATTAAGGCAATTAGACAGGTAAAACAGGACTGCCCATGATGACGTAGCTGAAACTAGCGTATACTTCAAACTTATACTAGCTGCTGAACACTGACATGCAGCTTCCGATAGACATGTATGAATGATATAAACTTCAACATTATGGCTTTATACAAGTGCATAGTTGCAACTGCAATAAGTAACGGTATCTGATTAATAAGCATAAAAAAATAAAGTGGAAAGATTTTTAAAACCCTCTTGCAGTATTACAGTACAATATATATACACAGTATAATGGTCACTTCTTACAGATGCAGTCTATATCACTGTGGGGGATCTTCCTCCTGTTCTTCTTGCAGACATGCTGGTGGCATCTTTATGAAAACTGAAAAGTCAGTTTCTTCCATTTCAATATTCATTCCTCTCAATCCTTTTATGAAATGTAGTGTATGTGTCTTGCCAAGAAAGCTTTTGTGGAACAGAGTTTAAAAGGTTACCTAACATATCCTTTTACTATTTACCAACCTCTTTTGATCAGTCACTCAGGAGAATACAGGAAAACCATCAGAGATTAGTAATTTATATTGCAGCAAAAATGTAAACCTCTGATATATATAGCACAATCTCTCAGGAAAATATATATATTTTTAATATATTTTGGGATATGTTTCAGTCTTGCTGTAACAGGAAGAAAATTATCACCTTGAATTGTGCCTGCATTCACGGAAAGCAGTTAGCTGAAAAAGAAGCAGGAAGTTTGGTCAGTAAATGCAACGAATGTAAATCTGACACAAGTATACTTCCTCAAAGTCTTCATTTAAGATGGGCTCATCACCATACTTGGGGAAAACACAATTTCTCTGTGTTCGACAGCATCATTACTTAGGTACAGCACATCTTATGCATTATGATCCCAAATCGATTAAACCCCCTTGTAATGTATGAGGGTAGAGTACAATACGCACAGAGTAATAGTCACTTCTAAAAGCTTAGTAATTTGTGAGATCTTAATACATAAAAATGCAGTATATTTAATTAACATAATGCTTGTTATTGTAAACACTAAGCCAGTTAAATCAAGAGCTGGTATCTCATATAACTGAGTAGACAACTGAGGTGCAGCGCTACTTCTGCTGTCATCGCCCATTCCTTTATAAGGCTGAGTCACACCTTACTTAAAAGAATCCTTAGGAATTTAACATTTAGTTTGTTTTTTTTCCTGTGTAAACATAACACTGCACCAACATGTAAAATGATTAAGCATTGAAAACTACAAAGTAGTTAATATAGAACGGTTTGGTTATCTCTATTTCCAGTACATTCACTCTGCATATTTAAGTAAGCCACAGGACAAATTAGAGCAAGGAAATGGCCATATCTTTTCTAAAGCAGTCAAGGAAACCACATCCCAGAAGCTGCAAATCCCATTTGTTTACGTAAGTTTTCAAATGCATGGTTAGGTACCCAAAAAGCACAGCACTGCAAAGAAAAGCCAAGTCAATTCACTTCAGAACACAGGTAGAAAAGCAAAATGCAGAACTTGGTTGATTTCATGTCTGCTAGCCATAAAGCAGTCAGTTTATGTTAAAAGCTTAAAAATGAAAACTATTTGCAAATACCAATTCTATTTCAGCTACATATCCAACTGCTACAATCTCCCTTTTAGCCTTCAAAAATTATCTGCAGAGGTTAGCAGTACTGGCACCATTGGTGAGCAACTACTCTGGCAACAGCAGATTTAGGGTTTTTTTCAGGCAGGCAGACATGAGTTTTGAAAAAAACAACAAACCAAACCCCATCTAATATTAGAAAGATAAAACCACTGTCAAATGCCACAACTTTGCTTTAATGAAAATCATTTCTCTAAAAATCCAACATCATGAACAGAATCTCATTTTTACTGTTTAAAATATTAAAATGAGATCTTGTGTTTTCTCTGCTTTGAGAAACAAAACCCAACATAGCATGCTGTAGTCAAAGCAAACAAATCCATTCCTCTCTGTTTAGATTTACCCCTTATACTTCTTCAGAAATCAAACACATCGTCATCATCATCACCATCAATATCATCAACATCATCAAATGACCAATCCCAGTCCTTAAATGCCAGATCAAGTAATCTGCAACAGGAGGGTTTGATGTTTAATATGGGTCACACTTCTATAAAAGACTTCAAAATTCCATTTGTTATCACTAAACCTGTTTAAGTAAAAGACTATGTTAAGGTAGATGGGTTCCTTCCTTCACCTATCGCAGACTAGGAAGAGTCAGTCAGTCAGTGTTCATGTAAGCCAGGAATGTTGTATTCATTGGGAATTTATCTCACAAATCATTCAATTCTATAGAACCCTTACCATACTGGGTTTAGTCCCCCAAAATTTCAGTACCAATGTTATGAAGACACCAAGATGTACATTTCATAACATTTTCTGGTCTGCTGCTGTTCTTGTTGACTGAGGTACAGTTTTATGCTCTCCCGCCACCCCTTTGCAGACAGTAATGTAAAGCTAACAGTTTTTCCAAAAAACCCAAGTACACTTGACTGCTGAGCAGAACATCAAATAAAACAGTGTCACCTGAATTTACAAACAGATACAGCAGGATTTTACTGTATCCCAGACTCAGTGGGATTACCCTATACAGCTATCCCATAGCTCACTATTTAAAGCTAAGCAATGCCAAAACCAGAGAAGGTATCAACTTGTTCTCTAAGCATCGCTGCCTGAGCTCCTTCTATGGTCACTCTAGAACAAAGCAAGCCAGCGAGTCAAACCTTGTCAGCAAATGAGTCATTTTACTTATTTTAGGCATTTATTTTGGGAGGGGATGAATCAGTGTCTAGAAGCATTCACCTCTTTCTGTTACGAATGATGCTAAGACAAATACCGGAAGTACAAACTTCTCAATTGCTACCGCTATGAGAAATGAAACTCAAGTCGACTCATCCATCCAGTGAGCTCAAGGGGTTTTAAATCAGAATTATATGTCAGCCATAGGAGGCAGAGATAGAAACTTTAACAGAACCTTCAGTGTATTTAACTAAAACATGCTACAGCGTTAATAATCAGATGCTTTAAACAAAATGCATTTGGCGGGGTTTCAGGTTTTAAAGTTTTTACACTTTTACATGTGCCATATTCCTGAAAAGGCTCAATATTCATTTGTTACATGAACTATGGCCACTGTAATTTCTAAAACACTTGAAGAATTTATTAGGCATTAAAATGTATTAAAGTTGATTTTTTTTTTTTAATTTGGCATTAGCATTCTGGCACAATCCAACTGAATGGATAAGCAGAAATTACGTGGTCTGTGTCTAAAACTGGTTTGCCCTTTTCTTAAATCATCACGAAGGACAACAGCCATGAAAACCTTGGAGAAACAATCATGGCGTGAAATTCCTAGCAGGGACAGCACTTGTAGGATGATACAGGATGGAAGGGACTTCTGGAGGCCCCTAAGCCCAACCTCCAGCGCAAAGCAGGGTCAGCCACAAGGCCAGCCCTGGCTGCTTAAGGCTTTGTCCTGTCAGGTCTTGAAAGCCTCCAGGGATGGAGCCCATCCAGCCTCACCAGCCTGCCTCCCTGCCCAGGTCCCTGTGTTTGCTTTCCCTTTTATCCAGTCGGAATCTCTCTTGGGTGAACCAAGTCCCTTGTCTCTCACCCTCCCACCATGCGGCACTGAAGAGCCTGGCTCCATCTCCTCGATACCTTCCCTGCAGGGAGTGGGGCAGGCTGCTCGCATACACCCCTGGAGTTGTCTTCATCCAGGTTGAGTAAGACCAGCTCCCTCAAAAGCCTCTGTTCTGACCATCCTGGTGGCCTCTCCTGGCCCTTCCCAGTTTGTCAATGTCTGGCTGAACTTGGGGGCCCAAACGCAGAGGCAGTATCTTGCTGCAGCCTAAGGAGTGAACAGAGGGGGATAATCTCTTCCTGCAGTCAGCTGGCTGCGCTCCTCTGGGTGCAGTCCCAGCGCCTGCCTTGCTGCCAGGGCCCACTGCTGGCTCACCTCCAGCTCCTCAGTCCCCAGATTCAACTGGCAACTACATCTTCACTCCTAATGAAGTTCGTAACAGAAAATTATGAATCCATACAGTAAGCCCTTGCACGAACGCCTCACAGAAGCACCAGTCAGCTATAAATTGGCCATAGCAATTACGGTAATATAAGGATATGGTTTCTAATTAAAAGTCTTTAAATCCATACAAATTTCCACTGGTTGGACAGACCTGCATTATTAAGGTGACAGGTGACATGAACTCACAGAACTACACTTTTCCATCTGTTAGGTACCTTTGCAAAGCTCACTTGGAAAGTTTAACTGCAAAAATAAAACGGTTTACACACAAAAATATTCATCCTTCTCCTTTTCCCACCATTACAAAATATGTAGCTAGAAAAAAAACCATTCAAGACCGATTTGTAGTGAAGGAGGACCACAAATAAAATGAATAGTAAGAGTAAATACTGTGTTATGACAGCATTGTGTAAACAAGGTCATGAAGATTCAAAGAACAGTGTTAGAAGGAGAAAAATTATTTTCAGAACACCTAAGATTAGCTGTGGAAAAAGAATCAGAATTTATACTATACCCTTCCTATGTCGACAGTAAGAAATAGAGTAACACTACTGGATTAGTAGTAATTGGACTGTAAGCACTATGCAGAAGAAAAACATTCAGTCCTTTGCTGGACTGCCCATTGCTTCTGGAATACTGCATCAAACAAAATAAGTCAGACCAAACTTTCCACAGGCTGTCAACAACTGGGGACTGATATAACCAAGTATTAGCAAGTGCTCTGGGTGGTGAAAAAAGTAAACAGAAAAAAACCCCCGAAATTCTGTACTGTGCACATGAGCACTACCTGCAGAATGCTGTCACTTCCACAATACAGTATAGGGTTTTGCCCCTTAAAATAGATCCAGTAATAGATTACTTGGTTTTGTATGGAAATTTTTTCCTCCAAATCAGAGGAACTTGATAAGACTACTCTTTTAGGAATGATGAGACATGAGCATGAGTCCTAGGCTGAATAAGGAATTGAAACCAACTCTTAAGCCTTTGGTAAGTGCTCCAGCTACTTCACAAATGATGACCTCTCCCCCCAGGTCCAATCTTCCTGCTCTCTTTCAAGAAGCACAAGTGATGCTCAGACAGGTGCCTTCCACTGCAGCAATGGGCTCTATGCTGTGGATCCCACGTGGGCATAGATGCAAAAGTGAGATTCATGCGCACTAGATTTTCACTGTAGACATCCAGAAGCATGCTGCATGCTCCTTTTCTACAACTAGGAGGATGGGAAACCTAAAACCAGCTCTTCCTAAACATGAACTGTAAATGGAGTCAGACATAAAGATATATACATTTGGTCAGATGAAATACACATTAACAGACGAATCTGCAATCCAGTGTCTAACCTAAGAGCAGGGCAGGAATTCAAACACATGCCTCCAAACCAAGCAATAAGAAACAAAAGACATGTAGTCTTTGCTACAGGTAAGGCCTTCTAGACTGCTTTTTGAAGGCACCCAGTTCTCTCCAAGGTTCGTTAGAACCACAAGCACCTAACTTCATCACTCAACTTCAAATCAGGTACAGCAATGGCCAACTTGAATATTGTCAAACCTTATTTTCTTTTTTCTTTTCTTTTTTTAACCTTCATGCCCCTCTCCCTGACTCTTTGCCTAGATAAACACCATTTTCCCTGCCAGTTCACAGGACCTATTAAGCTACAGATGATGCTACAAGTTCTACCTATTACATACAGGAGCAATAGGATACATTACCGGTACGGAAGGGTTATCTAACAGATAATGCAAAGTCCTTTAAACAAGGAACAAACATAGTGCTCTCCTAACTTAACTGAGGTTTATAGAAGATGACATGCTAGATCACATGTCAACAGTCCTCAACATTTGTGGTCAATTATCCTTATCAATATATTGACATTAATTGTAGTCAGGTGTTTAAACCAATAAATTAAATAGCAGCTCTTGTGTCACCTTGGTTTGTTTGGAGGAAGCTGTCGACTTGGTCGTCTGATGGACTGGTTTGGCTGTACCTTCATGGAAGTTCTGGGAGAAGATCGAGCAAAGGGGTCTGGTGCTGGAGGCTTCTTGGGTATTTTTTTCACCAGACGGCTCACCCATTTTTGCTGTTCTTCCGTAGAATTAGCTAACAGTAGTAGATTCTTTGCCGTTGAAATATCATAGTACACTGTAGTAAGAATTTTTAAAATAAAAATATCATTATTATTCTAAACATGTCCCAGCATCAAAAATTAGCTGACAGATTACCATACTCTCACAGTCAACACAAAGAGAATCAAGCAGAGAAATTAAAAGCTAAGTGATTTTGCCAAACTTTGAAGTTTCCCAGCTGCTGACAGTGCCTCCTTACATTTAGAGGCCAACAGCTTCATACCATTGAAGATACACATGGAAAAAAAACAGGGAAGGGTAACACAAAGAGATGTGCCCAAGAAAACAAGTAATGTGAGTCACAAGGAGTAAACTTCATTGAATGTCATCTATTTCATAACATGCATTAACACTATCATTTCACACAGCAATGCAGCACGACACACATTGTGAGCCATCTTATGTCTACCACACTTTACTGCACAAGGCTGCCAACACAACAGGCATGTACATACATTGGCCACATGCCATTAACTCACAGCAGTGAGCTGATCCTCATGTAGACTCCCTCAGAAAGGTTCTGATAGCTACATACTAATAAAAACCCCCTACCTCTTTATGTTTAGTTGGTGTCAAACTAGGATCCTGCTAGGATCCTCTCATCTGTTAGAACGCCTTACGACTTCAGCAACTATGTGCATATTCAAACACTTGCTACTTACCTTTGCAAGGTGCTATAATCTCTTCTTTTTTATCCATGTGATCTTTGTGACATTTGATATGACAACGGCGACATTCTAGAGCAGGAGGAGGTTTAAACATATGCCACAGTGGCTTCATACAAGCTTCACAATTGGTTGGAAAGTGATAAAGAGTAGGTATAAACTCATGTCCTTTGTGACAAATGTAATTTGACTTCTCTCCCATGGGCTCCACAGGAAATTCCTGTTCCTTTTTGCTCTCTCCTTCATTAGCATATAGAATCTAGAATCAAAGCAAAATAATCTCAGTACTCCTAGATGATAAATGTAAATTCATAGTCATTATCTAAGTATAAAGATTGAAGGATTACACCAGAATATTTTTTCCAGTAATTTTTAGTAAATATTTCATTAGACAAAGTTCTGAAAGTATTTTTTACAATGTGTGAAATTGGTTTTTTACCATGTTAGAAACACTAATTTAAATACCTGGAATATCCTAGGAATTTCCTTGGCATCTGCTCTGTACACATCAGTCTGAGTGACTGGTCGGACATGGAAGAGTTTGCTATAGGAAATTATTTCAATAGGACAAAAATTATTACCAAAATAAGAAATTTAAATTGACAGATTAAATTAGGATACAATGAACCACATTAAGACTTAGAGCCATTAAAGATTTGTCAGGTCAAATTTCTAATCACTTGATTAAAACCTTATCTTTCAATCCTACACATGAACCCTAAATAAAAAGAAGTTACAAGTATCTATCTATATTTTTCAGATTAAAAAAAAGTAAAAAGACAGCACTGAAAACCCAGCATCATGCGACTGTTAATGCCTGCTGGTGGCTTTCCAACAATGCTCTTTCCACACTCCAACCTCTCCATATTTTGCATTTATTAAGAAAATAATTAACTATACAGCTCACCTGTAAGGACACATTGTAAGTGAAAATGTACAAACACTGAACATTATAGCCTCTCTGCTACAGTTTTCTTCACATTTTTTGCTATAATGTGTATGTGTGGGAGGCCTAGGTGAGCTCGTGAAAGCAATTCAGTTACATGAGAGCTCAGTGGAGCATCCTGTATTAGACTCAGCACCACACTACTGCTGCAAACAGTTTGCTTACAGCAAACACAATTCTTCATCACAGTGGATCCTGAGGTCCCGGCTCTGCAGTTCAGATAACACAAGTACACCCCATCTGACATTGTGCTCCCAGGCTGAACCTCAAAAAGGCCTTTTGCCAGCGTGTTTCAGGCAAAGTTCACCTACAAATCAGAACAAGGAATCTCACATGGTAATACTTACTCTATATCTAATACCATATAAGGATTAGATTGTTCCTTATCTTGTTCACTGTCATAGAACAGGATCTTCTTACTGCTTACAATTACATACTGTTAAGAGACAGAAAAAGAGAAAATACACATTTTAATCCAGGTCATCACAGATGTCAAAGATGTCACGGTAATTACCACAGACATCACAGCAATGTTTTTCTACAGCTTTATTAAATGGTAGCTAAATAGACAATAGAAATGTATGCTAAATCCATATTTGCCAATAAATTAATTGCAAACCAAACAAAATCCTGATTACCTGATAAATCAGTTTTTATTATCAGATTAATTGATATTTAAACAGATTTAAGTATAGATGAAGAGATAAAAATCAAGCCTGGAACACGGTAAGATAAAGCTTTTCATTTCTATTTTATTGATTTAATTTTCAATTGGATTGATAGTGAGAGTAATTGTCATAATACCTATTTTACTTGTGTTGTTCATAACTAATAGGGATAATATTCACAAGGATCACTGCTACACTCAGCAGCATTGCTAGCAAGTGTCCTAAGAAAGCTAGTTACCTGTAAGACCTCCTATTTTCACAGTTTCGTCCCAAATTAAGAGTTTGACTGAGCAGCACATGAAGTGGTATGAAAATGTGTATGTTATTATTTGGGAGAGGAACCATCAAAGAGATTACTGAAAAGCAGTAGATGAGCGAAGGCTGTACAAGGCAGATGAGTAGTTGTTAATTTTATCTCCTAAATAAAGAATCTGTCATGGGCATCTGCTTCCAGATTCTGCTGAATTCCAGCTATGTAATACTGCTGGGAGTGCTGATGCCTGAATGCACAAACGTTTGAAGATCGTGAATGGCTGTTCTCACCTCTGGCTGGTCAAAGAAGTGTTTTAACCTACTACAATTGTCTTAACATGCTCCTCCTCAGAGGTAGCTATACCAGCTAACATATTTTATATGTTTAAGTAATGAGAGAACATGTATCAAAGAACGATTTATGTGTTGAAAGCCTGTAGTACGCTTAAAATCCAGACAACATATAACACAAGATCACAGATCTGGTTTTCTTACCTTCTTAACCCATCCAAATTTTTTAGTGTTATTTCTAACAGGCAGCGATAGCCAGCCTTCCAATCTTGACTCTGAAAAAAAGTATATATTGAAGAACACAAAAACTCACAAAACATTGTTTTTGAGACTACTGAGCATTTCAAATAGTTATTGAAGATCAATAAGAAAGCAACAAAGCAAACACGAGAACATGAACTATTTAAAACAACAAACTCCTGCCAAGTTTATCACAGTAACTGTTCAGGAACAAGTTAAAATCGTGTGTTCCTGAATACAACCAATAAGCAATGATGCAATCACAAAAAAGTAGTAAGCATGAGGAAGAAGGGGAAGAGCAAACTCACAATTGCAGCATACACATTCCCTTTAGTAATTTTTTCAAGACTTAAAATGCTTATGTCTATCAACCTTTGCCTTTTAGAACAGCGTCTGAAGATATTAGTACAGGCCACGCAACATCCAGTTCAGGACAAGAAAAGGCAAACTACCACAACAAATAACTTGCATCCTCTATACGCCAGGTAAAATTTCAGGAGTTTAGTATTCTAATTCATATTTTTGCTCTGTAATTTTCCTTTTTTTTCTAATTCTCCTAGGCTCTCTCATCCAAAATAAGTACTCTTTGGCCAATCCTTAGGCCTCGCCTAAATTCAACTGCCCTTTCACACACTTGCAGTATTTTATATTACAGTGGCGCATTAGTTGGATTGCATTCATCAACAATATTAACAGCTCAGCTGTTGTCTGTCATACACATTTCAGTGGTAACCAAAAGCTCACCAGGATCACACTTTCCTAGTGCTCAGTAATACACAGTATCGCATAGCCTTGGGCCCTATTTTTAGAGCTGCACCTAATACAAGCATTTCTTTCCCCTATGTTTTACTAAGAGGAACTACTCAATTGCAATAATAGTTTTCTAATGAGTTTCCCACCCTAGCAGATAACCTCTACTGCTGCTGAGGAACCCCCAAGTCAAAAAATTCCAAAGCCTTAAGTATTAACACAAAACCATGAAAGGAGCATAAACATGCTCCAGAATTGCAAAAATCATTTTCCTTCTCATTAGAGGGCATTTGCAGGCTCCTGCCCATGTTTAAACAGAGTGTAACAAATAGTTATTAGATAGATGATCTTAAGGTCCTTTCCAACCCTAACTATTCTGTGATTCTATGATTCACAGAATTCTCATTTTGTCTAAAGAGACTTGAAGCAGTTATTTTTCAGCTATGCACTGTCTTCCAAGTTCATTCTCCTGTAAGTATTTGATGTTGATGACACATTTGAATGTACATGCCAAGTTCCCATAAATGAAGTAATTCTACAATGTGTATTTTGCCTCACACCTGCTACTTTACATTGTTCCTTTCAACTACACTTGATACGAAGGGTTGCAGGCATAATACTGATGCAAAAAATCCCTCCCCACATCCAGGAAGCATGTGTAGTTTGTTAATGGTGTGAAAAAAATACACATTAATACTTTCCCTATTTTTCTCTGTAATCTTTAATACTATGGCATGAAATTGGGCAAAATGAATTTCTGATTACACTTCTTCATTCCTGGTGTCCATTCCATACTAACAGATTACAGAAATGCAGAATATTCAAAAATTTTCACAGTACGTGCTTATAAGCACCAGGAGGGAAAAACGCAACAAAATACAACCATCATACCTCGAAGCTGTTGTAATTATGTCAGCAAAAGTCCTTAGATATGATTTTTACTTCAGAACAAAACCATGCAGATACCACAACAGAGGTAACAGGGAAAAACTTATGTATGTACTTAATGATACTTTTATTAGAAGCCTCACAGCAAAAAACAGAGAATGAGAAAAATAGAGGAAATGCATTATTCTTTACTCTAGATTGATGAAGTAATGGCAATATCCCAAAACAAGTTTTGCCATCAGTGGAAAGGTATTCATACTTTAAAGGAACCTCAAGTGAAATACAGAAATGTGAATGTAATTAAAAACCCCACCTCTGACATTGAACAAAACTTCTGTTTAGTGTTAACATGGTGTATGTGTTGTCATACAAAATGAATATCAACTAGTAAAACAAAGCTCTGTTTTACCAGAGCCATATCACTTCATTACATGCTTTTTGTATCTGAGTAAATTCTGCTTGCCTTTCCATACAAGAATCAAAAATAAGATTCAAATTAAGGCAAATCAATGTAATACTCAGAATACTGAATTTCTAAGAGTAAATAATGTAAATTTAGATGGTGAGGAGTCTCAACACAAAGATCTGATTTTCTCTGATATCCGGTATCTTAGGGTCATACAGACAGCTGCAGATACTGGATAGAGGCTACCTTGAAAACAAGGCTGTAAGCCTCATTTATACAATGCCTTCATAAAAATGGTGGTTTTATAAATGGGAGCAAGCATTTGTAAACGTTTAGAGACAACAGGCCAATCATTTGCTCATGCAAATGTTTTGATGTCATTGATTGCCATGTTTACTGCCACACTGCAGCATGTTTACTGCCAGATTTGATGTGTTGGGTTTCTTGTTTAAATAATATATTAATAGCGTTAGTTTTGAAACAGAGAAAAGTACACAGTAAGAACAAAACCAAACAGTTCTCAGGGATGTCACCTGTGCTATCAACTTCTGTAGGGCTGTGGGAACAAGACAAAGGTTCTTCCTCTGAGTCAGAATCAGAATCGAGAAGCATGCGAGAACTGGAAGGCTTAGTGGCAATACTGACAGAGGTAGAAGAGTGCTGGTAGGTAAAGGACATGGATTCCATAGTGTGGGATTGAGTGATATGGACTAAACACAAAGGATAAAGGAGGAAAAAGGTAGAAAAGAAGTCAAAATAGAATATCTAAGAAGAGAGTATTAGTTTTACATTTCATCACATAACAGTAATTGCAAAGTAATCATCACAATAAAATACTTAGTTTTAATGGGGTACAATAGACTTTTAAAAAGAAATTTCTTTAAATAAATGTGAGATGAAGTATGATTACAGACAGATTTAGTAGGTGGACAGTGATCGCTATCAAATCGTTGGTAAGACGATAGAAACACATGAAGATGAAAAGCCACAGAATCATCAGAGCATTAATTTAATAATTCAGCTTCTATGGTAAAACACTGCTATAAACCCAATTAATGCAGAAATATTAATGAAATTAACATACCAGGGAATCCATCATCTGTCTCAGCATCTCCAGGTCCACTGCCTATGCTACTGTTGTCTAGACCAATGTGCAATGACTGCAGCTGCGAACGAAGCTGTTCAATATCACTGTCTTTACTGTCCAGAGTCATCTGGAGTTCAATCCGTATCTGACTCTCTTCTGCTATTTGCTGTAAGCATAGATCACAAAATTTCCTTTTATTATAATACTCAGTTACTCAGAGAAAATATAAGTAGAAAATTACAGAGACTATGCAGCCAATATCAATATATATATTGCGTATTTCTTTTGGTCATGGGAAATTCAGGAATAGAGGCTATATATACTACCTTAAAGCCTCTATCAATTCAATGAGAATTACAGAAAATGCTATCAGTATTTGTATTTGCAAAAGGATCTTACTGCCTGCATTTCATTGATTTCCTTCTGGTATTTGATCATCATTTGGGTTAACTTTTCTCGTTCAGACTTCAATTCCATATGCAGTTTCCTATTTTCCTTTTCCTTCCGCCGTACATCAGTGTCAGCTCCACGTTTGACTGGACCCTTCCGATTCATGATCTCAGCCAATTTATTCACAGCCTTCCCATGGGAAAGAAAAAATGACAAAACCCACACTAATAAATACACAGAGTTACATTATGAAGAAAGTCTTTTCTCCTGTCCTTGAAGAGATACTTTAACCTAACTGTAAACCCAGACCTCTGCAATCCAGTACTATAAAGTTGCTTTAATTCAATGTATTAGTCAAAATTGAAAAGAAAGTAAAGATGCCGTTTTCACTTTGAGGAAGCATTCACACTGAGGAAGCAGAGAACACTTCTATTCATCTAAGTAATCCCTTCCATTTTCATGAGTTAGCCCCAAAATATAAACTTGGATTAAAATGCCACTTGTTCTTAAAGACAATCCAGATTAAAATCAGATATCTACTCTTTTATGTAACTTACAGAGAAATATAAATCAAGATGGAAAACAGTAAAATAGGAATTCATCTGACTGAAATTATGATTTTTGCAGGTGGACTGCATCTAGATCAGGAGGTCCTCTGGTAACTCATGAGGACGCAGCTTCACTACACTGAAAGTCTACTTAGTAGAAGAAAAAAAAAGAAAAGAATCAAGATATTTTGTTTCAGGGTCAAAAAAAGAATAAAGCATTAACAGTACATATAGATAATTTACCATGGAAAGTTCTCTATTGAAAGTTATTCGATACATAAGCACCAGCTCTTCATTCATGTAGGTATTTGCTTACCTGGGTTTTCAATGTTCTTTCATTCAACAACTGTTTCTCAAATTGTGCTTTAATATTTCCTACATTTGCTTCTTCTTCTTTTAGCTTTGTAATTTCTGCGGCAAGGTAATAAAAAAATAAATCTCATAAAGCTCATTACAAAAGAAAATAGTACTATTAAAGAACAAAACTGGTTTCAAGTTAAGTTATGTTTCAGAGAATACATACGTTCTTGTACTTCCTTTAGTTTATTGTTCAGTTCTTCTTTCTCATTAGCAAGATTAGCCACATCACTAGTCAGTGTCCTATTTGCTTCCTCCAACTACAAAACAAACACACAGAACCATGTAACAAAACTCATTTGGCATACGAAAGCATTACAGGACAGAAGGAAATGCTTTAGAGTGAAACCAGGGTAAGGATTAACAGGACTAGCTGTAAGAGGGGTAGGGGCACAGAAGAACAAATGGTCAGAGAGCTTTAGTGGAAGAAACAGCGTAAGATTTTTTTTTATTTATTTCATAGAAAAATAAATATTTTTAAAATGTCAGATTTACTTTCCTATCACTTACCTCTAAGTATGGTAAATAGCAATGGATAAGTCAAACTGCAAATAAAATTCAAACTCATGTAAACCTCTACCAAAATTATAATTCACATAACTCACAGAAGCTATGGTGGCATCCTTCTCAGTAAGTTCCTGTTTATGCCTGGCCATCATCTCTTTAATCTCCAGCTCCTTCATAATCTTCTCTTTTTCCAAATCAGAGTACTGTTCTTCAGCAATGGAACGCGCAAGTTGCTCTGAATCTGCTTTTGTCAAAGTAATCTCTAGCTGAGCAGCCAAGGAGTCTCTGCAAATTATTGATATATATTATTAACTGATATGGCAGGTTATGGGGCAGGGTGGGAAAGACAACAATGAGAAGCTACGCTAACCTTTTACGTATTAGTAGTACAACTAGTAGAACGTACCTCTCGTCTTGTAACTCCTGTATTTTTTGCTGCATTTCTTTACAAAGTTTGGTCTTCTCCTCACATTCTTCTTTAAGTTCTCGGACTTGTGTCTTATATAGAGTCTAGAATTTGAAGTTGGAAAGAAAAGGACGTGACTTGCATGTTCTAGCTTGAGGGTACACAAAAAGTGATACAAGATGACACTGTATGCAATTCTTTAACCATACACCCAGTTAGAGTGTGATTGTGCAGTGCCTTCTCTGAATTCAACTAAATGACATCATCATTCGCAAATGTATTTCGGTTATTTCACGTTTTTTACCTTATGTATTTGTGAATGAATACATGTATGACATACATTTTATATACTTGTAAACATACTGTTAAAGAGACCTTAAATGTGAAAATCACCGTTTGATAGAATTTCAGAAGTATCAGAAGCAAGGAAAAACATTATTTTTCTCTAGTATTTTAAATCTTTGTCTGACGCAGGTAGAGATGTAGAATTTAGACTTTAAGCATACAAAATCTATGAAACTAACATGACAGTTAAAAAGCAAGAAGTAGGATAAGAAGAAGGGAAAAACAGACTGGAAACACATTTGAATTACTATTTTTTTTTTTAATCATTACACGTCCAGAGCTCTAAAATAAATGAAAGAAAAATTGTATTACTCTGTATGTTCAAATGACTGAAGACAGGTAATCAGACAGACAACTGCAAGTGGACTTACTGCAGGGATTTCAAGACAGACTGCCCCTCTCTGCCCATCCACGACAGCCAACTGACCTCAACTCGCCCATCCTCTACTTAAATGTGTGCAACTTATTCACCTACTAAAACTTCACAGTCCTTCTCCTCAGTGACCTTAACACCACAGTAAAATCCTAACTTGCCTTTAATTCTGAAACAAGCTGTTCAGCCTCTACCTGCAGTGTGACTGGCTGTGCTCTGTTAACATAAATTAACCTCCATATGCTAGTACTGTAACAGAATAAATAGGTATATACAATACCCATTTATTCTGTTGTACCTTACCACAATAAAGCAAAAACTCCCAATAGATCTCTACGAAGTTTGGCTGTAATGCAAAAACTCCCTTCCAAGTCTTAAATGCACGTTTTGTCACACCACGTGATTCAGAGAATACAGCTCTTCCATGCAGCATGGAACGGATGCTGAATGCAAAAGGCTTGAAACATGAAGAAAATTATTCACACTGTAAAAGAATGAGCTGTTTGACTCTTTCCTCCCTCTGAAATGTGTTTGGGACTCCCTTCTAAAGCTGGGATATTTTTTAACATAAGCTCTTTCACACTGCTCAGTGATCAAGAACAAGTAGTGAAGACAAGGTTACAGACAAGAGTCAAGATAGACACAAGAAAAGAAATTAGTGTTAGGTTAGGGATGTGAAACACCTGATGGCTGAGGAGGAAGAAGAAAAGCTAACACTGTGCTTAGTAAACAGATTAGTATAGAAATGAAGAAGCATAAAACATACCGAGAAATACTGTTCAGCTTCAAGTTGGTCTTGAAGCTCTTTCATTTGTCCATCTGCATCTTGACGTTCCCTAGAAAGGAACAGCATACTTTAAAAGATATGAAGATATTCCAAACCAATAAACAGAAAAGACAGCATCCACATTCTTAAGATCTTCAGTCATTAAACCTGAGACTTCCTCTGGGTACCAGCTCTTTTTCATCTGCACAGCTGAGAACACTGCACTAATAAGTTGGTTTAATACTGTTAATACAGTAACTACTACAGTGTCACATAGCTTAACCAGCCAGAGACACTGACAAAGCAAACGGATACTGACTGAATCTTATTTCCATGTAAAACGTCACTGATCTGACATTGTTTTGGTCTCTCATTTGCTAGAGCTTAATCTGTGAAAATACGTCTGTATTCTTCGACACGCATCATTTCTCGAATCCATCTATTATTAGAAGAAGTCAGTCCTGTAACAAAGAACAGTAATGTAGCAGAAAATATTTTTGCCAGTGTTTCACATTACAGCAACCATCACCACATTCTGCTTTCCACGTGAATAGCTGCATCTTGCTGAAAGAGAAGACAAGGCACAAGGAGATGGTTTATCAAAAGTCATGAAGGAGCTAAGAATGAGATACATCTGATTTATGTGCTTGGCTTTGCATTCACAGGAATGTTCTTTATATATTAATAAAAAATCAAAATTGTAAAATCACAGACTGGTTTGGGTTGGAAGGGAACTTAAGCTTACCCAGTTCTTATCCCCTGCCACGGGCAGGGACACCTCACACTAGACCAGGTTGCTCAATAAATAAAAAAAATTATTTATTATCGGGTACAAATATTTTGTGTAAGACCTTGAAGAACAAATCCTGTCTGAAGGTCCAACAGACGTACTTAAGCATCTGTAGTATTAGATATTTCAATAGTTACGCTTCACAGCTGTGTATTACGATTCATTTCCAACTCTAATAAGCTCTCCTGGACTAAATGCCAGTAACTTTCTTCTTCACTGAAGTCCTATGTCATTTAAAAAAACCAGTGCCTAGACTTTCTGTTGAAGAAGTGTTTCTCTGCAGTCCTCACACTCTTCTGTTTAAGTTGGGTTTAAGCCTGGGGGTTTTTTTTAAGATTTTCAGGGTAACAAACATCCTTTCCTACAAATCTGTACTTTGCTGAGTCACTGGGGCAAATCTCAAGTAGAGTCACTGTAAATTATGTTAAGCAACAATTAAGACTGAACGGCAGAACAGCGTATTTTGTGCAGCAAATTTTTAGAATGAATATTACTCTCAGCTTTTGCCCCAAAACAATTATAAATCAGTAACATTACTAAAAAATGCAGAGCAACTGCGTACTTGCGGAGTTCATTATTTTGCTTTTCCAGACTTAGTTTGATTTCCTGAAGATGGTTATTCTCCTGTTTTAACTGCTTCTCTGACATTTTCAAGGTGTTGACTTGCTGTGTTTGCATCTTGAGGTCATTTTGAGTGAGACAGCGCTTCTGTGTTTCTTGCTCTATTTTTAGTGTCAGGTTTTTTACCTGCCAAATAAACAGAAACCTGTGAATTTTACAGACCTACACAGGAAAGCAACATTTAAACAATTTCTTTTATTGATTTCCTCTACATTTTTGTACAACACGCTCACATCTTTTGATAAGTCAAAGCTGTTTCCTGAACAAAAGCATTAGCACACAATAAATAAGATAGCTTTTGCATGTCAATCTCCTAGGTTGTACATTCCAGAAGAAAACCTTTTTAAGATTAGTAACACTGAAATATTTCGGAAACATGAAACCACACTCTGTAGACTTTTTAAAGCTCCCAGCACAGAGAAGGAAAAAGTTGCTGCCATTTTCATTCACAAGCACTCCTAAATATAGTTATAACAAGGAAAATATTAGGATATTGAAATACAGGTTCCACTCAAGCTTCCTTTTGTCAATGTTCCTTACATCTTCATTTAGTAGATCCTTTTGCCTCAGGAGTTCATTGATTTTCTGTTGTGATTGTTTGAGATCACAGTCCAACATTGAGCACTGCTTTTCAGCTTCCAACAACCGATTTTCTACTTTTTGCTTTAAAACTCTCTCTTCCAAAAGTTTCTTCTCCATTTCTGTGAAGGAAGAGATTTAATATGTCAGCCAGTGTAAACCAGCAGATTCTGGAGAGCAAGGGGAGAAGGACCATATTTACAGTAATCAACACATTTATCCTTCTAACACTGGGGAGAAATATTGCTGAAAAGTGATTAAAATTTTCACAGTAAACCCACACCCAGAGGATGCTTTGAAAGCATTCCTGTCTGGTAGCCACTTCCTGCCTTTGACTTCCAAGATGACTTCCAGTTTAACAGCAGCACAACTGAGATGGATAAAAGGGTTGATTTTTAAAAATAATCCATCTAAATCAACTGAAGTGTTGCTTTGACTATGATAATTTGAAAGCTGTTCAGGAAGCTGCTATTGCAAGTGATTCAGCCATTATCACTGTATCATTTTTGCTTCTTTTGAACATCTGCATGCTGACAATTTTTGTGAATGCTCTGCAGTTGGAAGGACAGGATCTCTAGTTAGGTTTTTAAGTAACTGCAGGGAACAATCCATTTAAATCATAAGTAAGAACAATCTTCTGGATTTGTTTGGTAATTATCCCTTTCTCCAAGAGATTTCAATTGTCACGAGATGCACCAGATTATGCAGGGTGACTAACCCTATCTGGTCTACATATTTAAATCATTATGTTGCTGACATATTTAATTTAGGAAGACACAAGAAGGTGTGAGTACACTGAGCAAGAACACCTATAAACTCTTAAAAACATTTCAAACAGTTTTAGTGACAGAAATTTAAGAAAAATTAAGTCAGAATACACTAGCACAGAAAATGAATTAGTGGTGTGTGAAACAGAACGTTTCACTCTTAAGCTAAACCAGTGTGTCTGTCCTTGCTTCCCTAGGTTAAAAAGGGGCTACTATTGATTTTTACCACACTAATTGTATTTAAAAGGCTTTCACTAGCATCAAAAGATTACATTACCTACTTTGTACAATTTACACCTTAGTCCAACTGTGATGCACAAACATACCTTTCATGGCTTCAGATTTTGCTTCCTCTATAGATTCATAGATCTTATTTTTGTCTGCTAATCGTGCTTTTGTGGCTTTATGTTCAGCTTCTTCTTGTTCAAGGTTCTGCTGCATAACTTTGAATTTATATGTCATATCTATTTCCATGTTGCTCTTTTCCTGTTTAAGAAAAAATTATATTAGAATAAAACATCAGGTTAAAGACAAAATTTGGACAACACTTACCTGCTGCTTGGACGTATGCTAAGAGAAAGCTAAGAACTCATTTCTACAATGTTTTTCTGTGGATGGCAGTGCTCAAAAAGGGCACAACATCCCCAGCTGCAAACAATTACAGAATTACTGCCTTAACAACCAACATTCTGTAATAAGAGTAGGTCAAAGATTGGGTTTATAGAAGATTTTTTCATACTTCTGTTTCAATGACAAATCTGTCAAAAAAAAAAAAAAAGTAGCAGAAGCTTTTTTATTTTTGGCAATATTGAGAATTTAAAAAAAATCCCAACAGATGAAATGATGCACAGTTAAGCTACATACTGAAGTATATTATTTTACACATTAGAAGTATAATATATTACGATTATAAGGGAAATGATGTCTTTTTTCCCCCGCTTCTCAAATTGCAAAAACAATTTAAAAAATTCAAAGGAAAAGAATAAAAACTAAAATCAAGGTTTAATTTTGCATAGACTTTATCTCCAAGTCTCAAATAATACAAGCACAAATTGTAAGATTCCGTAAGAATGTAACACCAGTGTTCACTTAGAAGTGCTCTTACCTTTTCTAAATCTGTAAGTTTTTCCTGCAACTGTCTCTTCTCCATTTCCAGTTTGGCTAAAAAATTTTTTACTTCTTCTTCGAGGCTAGATATTCGACCTGAAAATGACCGAAACATCAATGAGGTTGGGCAGTGTGTGAAAAAAGAATGTATAATTTTTCAAACACAATAGCTTCCAATTCTGATTATTAAGTCACTCCCTTTGGGGTGATTTTAAAAGTTATCAATAACATTTTATAAATGTTATTACACATTTCCTCTTAAATCTGTGTCCACACTTACATAACATTGTATAGAACAGCACACTGACCTAGTCACAATCTGAAGCTCAAATAACATCACCAAACCTTATTTTTATTTCTGAAACAAGAAGCAAGCTTATCTTCAGGAGATTTGCAGGAATACCTTGTAAATCACTGATAATCTCTGATCCATGACTTCTATCTCTCCGTTCTGATTCTAGAGCTGACTGAAGATTGAGAAAGTCCTTCTCCAGTTTGAGTTTCGCATTCTCTAGCAGGCAGTTCTTATCTTGCAGTTCCCTATTATTAGTTTCCAGCTGCTGGATTTGCTTCGTGCTTTCTGTCTGGTTCTTCCTTAACCTGGCTGCAGTATCAGACTCTGACCGCAGCGAAGAATTGGCTTCATCCAACTAAAGATGATAAAAACATACTTCAGAAACAGTTAAATTACAGTAACTACCGCTGATACTACAGAATACTAGATTTTATGAATTAATGAAATAAAAAGGAGTATATGTTAGGATTACTTTTTAACACCAAAACATGTCAAGAATGAACTGCATTTAAAACTCCATTATGCATTTCAGTTCCCTCCACTACTAACAAAATCTGTACTTCAAACAGCTATTATTTTAAAATATACATGTATAAAGCTGGCATGCCTGTCTTTGTAGTTGATTGATTTTCTCATTGGATATTTGAGAGTTCTGATTCCTCTTTTTCAAATCTTCAAGCTGGTCTTTCAAACTGTTAACTAGAACAAAAACAATTCAGCACAGTTAATCGCTATCATGAAAAAGCTTCCATTTGAACTATAATTAATTTATTTTATCTCTTAAAAACCCACATCAATGCACAACCCTTCAAGCATGGTTCAACATACCCTCGTTTTCCAAATTACGTTTCTTATCTGCCTCATGTTCCGCTTTCCGCTGGTATTCTGTATTTTTATGCTGAAGAAGAGCCTTCTCCCTTTCCAACTGTCTGACTGCAGACTCTACATTCTTCCTTGAAGTTATCTGAATGCATTTAAAAAATAAAAAACATCACTAACTGCAAACAGAAAAGTTGTATTCTTTATATGACAAAAAGACAGCTCAGTTTAGTTTGTAATGGAGAAAGACACAGCTTATTTGCCTGCCAAAAACACAGCCCAGGACAACTATAGCCAGAAGTTTCTACAATTTCAAGACTGTCTGATTATTTGGATTTGATGAATCTGGTAAACCTGCCCAGCAGCCACTCCAGAAGCAAAGAAATATACATGTAATGTAAGGTCTTGACATGTGCCTGGATGAGTGATACATTAAATTGTACACATCCACTAAAGATATGACAAATCTGTAGCAGCACTAAGGTGCAAAGCTCAGCAAGAAATAGGGTCCTTTTACTGACACTGAACAATGCAAAGAATGGCCTTCCTCTTCTAACAACACTGCTCTCACATCTTCGTTTTTTAGAGTCTTACATGGGATATTTATATCACACTGTCCTCCAAATTAAAAACACAGCAAAAAAGGAATTCTGGAAAAAAGTGTATAGCTGTAGCACAGAAATCATAATGAAATTTTTTTAGCAGTGACAACAGTTTCATGCTTGTGAATATCAAGAAATCAACCAGTATTACTTACTAATTACTTGTGGTTTTATATACACAGCTACTGAAAAGTAATTTGCTGTTTCCTAAGGATAAAAGCTACACAAATATTAAAGTTCTAATGCAATAAGAAATAACTACAGACTTACCTCTTCATCTAGTTCTTTCACTATCTTTTCTAAGCGAGTATTCATAGACCTGAAGAAATTTAAAAAGTATTTTTAAACCCTGCTGATTATACAGAAACCCGAATGTTTGGATCTATCTCATTAATTTTATGTAAGATACTCTATTTTCAGCAATCGAAACTTCAAGGACTGGGGAAAACAAACAGAGAGATTCTCATGGAGCATTAAGGCCAAAAAAAAAAAAGGAAGAAATAATACAGTAGTCACAGGAGTAGCGAGAATTATCCAGCAACTTACAGTGAGGTCTGCTTGCAGGCTTGGGAATCCCCAAATGGATTACAATGCTTTCAAGCATTCAAAAACAAATGGTGTAATAAAAATTCTTTATGAACATAGCAAACATGTCAAAACAGTCTCACCTGTACTTCTGTTCTAGTTCATCTTTGGCTTGTAATTCATTACTGAGCTGTTCTTCCAGCTTGCTCAGCTTTTTCTGAAACTGCAAAATGTCAAAAAAGTAAGGCTCACGTATAAAAATGTTACCACACAAAACAAGTGTAATTCAGTTAAACAACAACAAAAAGTGAAAGCGAGGAAAATTAATTCAATCTTCCATTATGTTATTTGAAACCATGACCGGAAGGTTGTATCTTTGCAAGGTACTAATCCTGAGTTTTTTAAAGATACAGATCCATAGCAACAAAATTTGCTGCATAATGCATTAGATCTAACCATCACAGAATTATATGTCACAGATGTCAGTCATAAAATTTCCACTAGCAAAGAATATTGTTACTGGCCCCTTGCTGTGCTCTTTCTCTGTAGACAGAGACTTTCCACTGCAGCAGAATTTTAGGGATAGTCTTTTCCAAATAAAATTACAAAACAAAAAGGGGGGCACATGACCAAATAGGACAATATTCAGAGACAATTACTAAGCATGTTCAATGACCTCACATACAGAACAGTTTCTTAGTCTAATATATACAGAAGCTAAGAAACACTTTTCAGGTTTGGGAAGGCTTTGGTTTGTTTATTAAAATATTAAAAAAAAAAATTCTGAGTAATCCGATATTTAAGAAATAAATTATAACTAATAATTTTTGGATTTGTCTTATGTCTTCTGCTTTCAAATGCATTTACTTTCCTCCTTTCCCTCTCCTCCCCTGCCCCCAAACATGAAATGTAAAAATGTGGTTTTCTAAACACTTTAAAATTGTTACAATTAGAAGATTCCCAGAACAAGGACACTGAAAGGGACATCAAAAACAGAGATTCACTGCTTGAGAAAATATGAGTAAAAAAAGTTGTCAGAAGTTAAATGCAAAATTTTCTGAAAAACTACGTTTTCCATCACAACATAAAGCAAGTATCACAGATGTGACACTGCGTATTTTAAAAAGCAACTCTAAAACTATTCATCTATGCAGTAGTGTCTAAAACAATTCATCTACTCAGGCAATGATAGGAAGAAATGAAGCAGATTCTAGTAAACATTTGCATTTAAATTTATGCTGGTCAATACATTAAGTTACTTATTTTTTTAAACACTCAAAAGGAGTTTTAAGTTTTAAGAACTATCTACACTTCAATAATACAAATGTTTAAGTAACACAATGAAGTAAGTACATGATAATTCCATAGCATTCTTCTTTTATCTGGAAATTTAAATTCAATTGTCAGTCTTCAATAACTGGATAAACATGCTCCATACACTCACTTCAACTGAGAGCACGATTTAAACATTTCTTTGTCATTGCAGGTGATGATTTACTTTTTCTAACTCTGAACAAATCAGCTGAATCACTCGGGCAAGTTTGGAGGCAAAAATTGACAGCATTCCCAAGAGTGATGCTGTTTGCGGCAAAGAAAGCCTTACACGTTTGTTTTCCAAACAAATTATAGGTGCCAAAAGAATTCGAGAAAAATTTGTATTCATTCACTTTTATACTATAGTACTTTAATGTTTAACTGTTTCAAAATACAACTGATGAATAAACATTTAAGATATTTCACATTCACATAAATTATGTAGGAATTTTTTATTCCTTTCATAATTCAACTAATACACTTACCTCTTTGCTGTCCTGTAAATAAAAGATACCATTTTTATTGAGGATCATTAAAGACAAAAAAAACCCCATAAAATTTCTTGAAAATGTATTTTAGACTTCATCTTGTCTTAACAGGCTTAACAAAAATCTTAATAAAAAATCATTAATACTTACAAAAAAAGGCACTAACCTCATTTTTACTAGATTGCACAGATTCATTTTCTCTGCAAGACTGAGAGGAGTCACTTAGCAACCTGTCAAAAACAAAAACAAATCCCTCCAGCTCTTATTCAAGTTTTGAACAACTCTGGCACCCTTGCCAATCAACTCATTTGAATCAGTTCTCTCAAGTCTTAATTTGTCCAATGCTGTTCTCAGAAAGAAGCTTGTTTTATTTCAGCATGAGTGCATCTTTCTGATTTGAATCTTTTCTTAAGTAAAGTATAACATATGTTTTCAAATCCATAGCATAAATTTTTAATTAATACAGCTATTTCTTAACTATTCAAGTTGAGTCCTAGCAAGGTATTATTTTGTGTAAACCTTTTACTACAGCTCCTAATAAAAAGCCATTTTAGAATTAAATTACAAATCTATCAGTAATTTAAGCCTAAAAGACTTCCAAGAAACTATATACTTTTGTGCATAAAAAAATTACTGTATTTACTCAGGTTCATAAAAATAATCAAAATAATAGCAAATGGTATCTTCTAATTCAACTCTGCATCTTGTATCTTCATAATTGGACATAAATGAATACAATGCAATGAATAAATTATGTATCTAGAGTGAAAGAAAGAATAGGATATAAGAAAAACCTACAGGTCTATTTCTACAAATGCATATTAAAGTATCACATACAAATTGTCTCTATAGTAGGTAAATCCTATAAAAGGCAGCTGGTTTCCCACGAAGGCTTTGGGGATCGGAAAGGTTTCCACGTCTCCCTTGTCGTCCTCAATGTCATCAAAATTACTGCTATCTATATCACTGCTAAGCTCAGGAACAACAGGAGCAGCAGCTATAAAAAGGGGAGAAAAGATCAACTTCACTCCAAGATTCAGCCACTTCCTATATACAGGTATCTCTATAATGATAAAAAGACTATATTATAAAGTTATCCTGAGAGTTAAATATGTATTAACCACGCAGCTGATCTGTAAATATTACTGTGAACATTTTTTTCTAGAGAAATCTATTTTTACATTGGTTGCCTAATGCATAGATTAAGGCACAAAATGTATTTGTTAAGGTAATCACATTTGAGAATACTAAATACAATCATCATTTTAAGAAACTTTAGTAGATATATCACTTTAGAAGTTATGATCGAGCTCATAATCTGAACTGGCATACTTCATTTTTCTATCTAAAGCTATCAAGTTCACAATGCCTGAAATGAAAAGCAGTAGAACTGACAAGACTGCTGCCAAACTACTGCCTCAATTACCAGAAGATTGAAAAATCCCCAAACCAAACCCAACAAAACACCAAAAAACCTCAACCAAGCAAACAAACAAATCAGAACATCAAAAGCCACAAAGAAGCACAACTTAACATGCATTCTTTTTAGTTAGAATTCTGAAACATCCAGTTCTGTTGCTCAAACCAGAAATCAATACATTAAATGCATGACAAAGGTGAGGACAATTCCAGTAGGGAAATGTGTATTTACTAACCCTTACTGATAAGAGGTTTTATAATACAAATAATAAATAAGGAAGGTTGAGCAAGACTCTTGGTAATGAGAAAATACTTAATTTATACAGCATGAAGCTTTTATTTTTTTTCCATTTCTCCTATTGCAAATACTGAATACAAATAGAACTTTTAAGCTATTTACTTACTTTCTCGAATGTTGTCCCAGTTCCACTGATCACTCTTGAAGAAAGGGTGATGCTTTATTTCTTCTACCCCATTTCTCCCAAGTCTCACATCCCTAAACACAGCAATTCAGACAAAATTCACATTAGGAAAAATAGCACTTGTTTTTTGTTATTTAAATTCAGACTTGCGCATAAGCAGCAAAGAAACTGTCAGTAAAGACTGTCTGTGTTAACCACATTAACGGTTAACAAAATTTAACCAATTAACAACAAATCAAAAACCACCAACCACGAATCTGTAGTTTCTTATGTAAAATGTACTCTGTTTCTTAGCATGCACTCTCCCCACGACTGCTAAGATGTCCAGATTTGGAGTCTGCCACGTGGGGAGTAAAGCAAGAAAGAGAGCACTGAAGCAAAGTCTAAGAAGAAACTAAGAACACAAACAAAACCCCAACACCCCTGAGGGGAAAAAAAACTGCAGAAGTTTCATGTCTGCCAAACCACATGACAGACCTTAAGACGCAAGTGAAGGAAGGTCTAACTTACTGCACAGAACAGTTATTCAAAGCTGGACTGAAGGAAATATCTTAAGAATTCCATCCTCTGCCCTATAACTAACCCTGACACATCTTTTGCTCATATTTGCAGTGAAGTAAATCTTAAGTGCAACAAGAAACTTTTAGTTTGACCAGAACAGTCTCTCTTAAAACTATCTACAAAAACAGGACATAAAAACAATGTGTGTAAAAGAAATAATAAATCATAGGGTCGATGCTTATTCCTTCTTTAAGTGCTTCAGCAGTGATCACGCATACTGAAAGAAGGCATCTGTTTCAAATAAATCGCTTGAGCACTGTATTAATATAAACAGGAAGACGGACACACGTAGTGGAAGTACACCTCGCCGCATTTACATTATTAAATTCTACTCGTATTTGCTCTCTACCCTTCAGCTACTAAGGGTGAAAAACGCTGTTAAAGCATATCCTTCCTGAGTAACCGCGATCTTGCTCACAGAGAAAACAATCTCTCCTTGAATGCAAAAACCATTAGAGGGCAATTTTTTTCCCAATCCCCCATTCTATAAATGCTTTGCTGTAGCCAAGTTCAGGTGGCCACAGGAAAGCATAAGAAGGCACCATCAATCCGGAGTTATCTGTATGGACCCTTCAGTGATATTTTAAATAAGAGTAATTGAAGATGACCTCTCCTTTCTGGAATTAAAGAAAATATAAATGTTCACATCAAGAAAAACTTACACAGCTTAAAATCAATAAACGTCTCAGTTCTACAAAGGGAATCCTCTAGGATCTATTTATAGCCAAAACAATAACGTTGCTGGTTTGTTATACTTGCTGTACTTGTCAATACAATGCAAAGCAAATGAAAAAAGTTCAAACATTCTAAGAAAGCTTAAACCCAGTATACACACGCTTATTTTCATAAAAATATTTGCTTTCATTTTCTTAAAGTAATACCCACTTAGACACTGGCCACAAGCAGTTGGTCCCTGCACTGGAGCTTACAAATCACTTTCAACCTTACAGGTTTGTTACGTATTATACACTGCAACTAGAGGGATTTGCCTGGCACAAATTTGTTAACAGGAGCTGTCAGAACTGCTCATGGAAATAAAATACAATACCTGGAAAAAACACCCCAAAAGAAGAAAAACTACAGAGTAGATGATTTTGCAGAAGAGATTTGAAAGGAGATTAGGAGAAGTACTGTAAGGAATTAATTTTTACAATGTACATATACTAATAACATCCAAAATAAAACCAGTACCGGAATGATACATGCACTTACCTATCAGTTAAAAAGGCACAGATAAGGTTCTTTGCATGCTTAGAGATTTCCACATCATCTGGGAAATGTAATGAGTTCTTGTGATCCATAATTTTACTGTATGTTCCTACTAGTGAGTCTGCATAAAAAGGAGTATCGCCTGAAAAGAAAACAGTAAATGGATTGTGATTTTGAATCATGTTCAAGTCATGCAAGTTGAAAAAGACAAAATACATAAAAGGAAGTCTACAAGTACTTTTACCTAAAATAGTGTTTTATTAAAAAATCACAAACAGTAAAGTGGGAACACAAGGTACAAAGTAATGTACACTACTAAAAATATTCCTTCTCTAAAATGCCTGTGTTACAAACTAAATCATTTCCCATTCTGCATACCACTACCAAAATTTTGCCCAGTGAACTACATCTTTTGTTTTACCTGAAGACTATCACTGTGGTTTCTAATTTACATGAGGGCTGACACCCAGATAAATCCCCCTCTTTAAGTGCTTCCATGGGAAAAATGGACTGAAACTCATTAGAGATTTGCTAATGCATATTTGTTGGAAAGACTCCACCAAAGCTCTCCAAAGACTGGTTCAGAGGCATGTAGGTCTACTCTGCCTACCCCTGGTGCTGCCTAAGGCAAGTCAGCTCTGAGCAGAAGCCTTCAAAGTGTGTTACTGCACTGTTAAACCCATATTAATAAATCTTGTTGTCTGAAAAATTACATTAGCTTGGGTGCCCACAGTGGGCATGGTGGCATTTAAAATCACAGACTTTCTTCACACATCCAAACCCGGATTTGTAGCACAGGCTTTAGTTAAGTCTAGTTTCTTTGGAATATCCTTAAGAAAGGTAAAACTGGGACAACTGAAAAGAATCAGTACCGATAATGATAACTGACATTCAAGTTAACTGACAACATTCTGAATATACAAATGTTTCGAGTCAGTAATCAAGAGGCTGCAACTTTTACATAAATGCTTTCTCACAACTAATCTGTAGGTTTAATGGGGAAGGTGAACAATCACTCAAATCGCACGAGCTAGGCTCTTTCCTCCGTCCTGTGTGCTGTGTGCATGCAGGGATCACCTGGCAGGGCACTCAGCACACTGACTCCATGCTCCCATCGAGGTACTGAAAATGTCAAAAGCTCAGTATGTGAAAGAATGTACAAACAGACAAATGGACAAAACACATTTATATTCTTTTTGAAAGCTAAATGCAAGAATCCTATCTTTAGCCTCTTTCTGTCATTTTATGGCAAAATAAGACATTAGGACACACCAGCTTGAATTAAAACTTCTAGACTTCTAGTTAGTTCATTTCGTTGCCATACCAGTACATTGGAGGAGGGGATCACTGATATTTGCTGCCACCGCCCTCGTTCCAAACCTTCCCCCTCTCAGTTGTCTTTAGTTTCAGAAACAGCTTTGATTTAAGCCGCACCTCAAAACTATCCTAAATCACTGAATTAATGGTAGGATTCATCCTGTGACCAACATTTTAGCTTTTAATTAAGTGCACAATAAAAAGCAGTACCATTTTCATTAAACTAAAACAGGATGCTTTTTGTGCTTTAAAGCATAAAGTTTTAGAAGACCATAGGCAGAATGCAATACGTAAATATAAACAAAAATATATACTTTCTAGCAATGTGGGGGATATGGAGAAACTAAGTAAGATTTTACTTTAAAAAATGTATTCATTAGAAGGATAAAAAGGGGAGAATCCTCCCTCAGATACAAGGAGGGGTAAAAAATAAGAGGCTCTGAGAAAACATTCTGGACTATATCCAATATTTAATAACAACTCTATTTCTAAAATTTTTATGAAAGACTATTAATTATAAAACATGCTTTTTGTAAGTCAAAATGCCTTAATTCTGAAAGACATGGACATTCTGTAATACATCCAAATGTCTTTCCTGGCTCAGGATACTAGATACATCAAATCTGCAATATTCCCAGAACATGCTGATTTTGATTTTTAATAATTATATGCTCAATTCCATCTTTCTATAATCAGTGTTTTGCTACCAGACTGTAATACTGATCCTTGCTGCATTTTAAGATGCAGATGACTCATCTACTTAACAGATTATATTCAATGTTCGTTGCCATAGCAGTCCAGTGTATTTTACTGGAAAATCCTGACTCGAGCATAGAAGAAAAACTCAAGCCATACTTTCACAGTTGTTTTCATGTAAGAGAAACTATTGCTAGTGCTGGGGGAAAAAAGAAAAGGAGAAGAGCAGTTGTGCCCTTCCCACTCCTTTCCCATCTCTGTATTGCTGAAAACTCAGTATTGCCCCTGAGGTGGCACAAACGTTCATGAGATGGTGAGGTGCTGACCCCAGTTAAAACTATTCTAAGAATTAGTTTTAAGCTGAACCGAGCCAGAGAACTAATCACTAAGCAAGCACGCAAACAGCTGTTGCAGCCTAAGATTGACAGAAAGCAAAGGGAACAGGAATGAAGCAACAGCATCACCCAAAAGTCAGAAGCTGTTAAGACAGTGAGGTACAACCAATCCCCCGCAGCAAAGTACAGATGAGGGCACAGTTAAGACTCAGCGATAACCTGATGAGCAAAAGAAATCACCACTTACCAACTAGCATCTCAAAAAGGAAAACTCCTACAGACCACCAGTCACATTCTCGTCCATAATAACCATCACCCCCTTGCGACTTCAAAACTTCAGGCGATATGTAGTCGGGGGTTCCCACAGCTGTATCACAGCGCACCATACCTGTCTGTGCAACAGTAAGAATTCAAAAAGCTCAATTAAAAATACCTCTGAGTCCTTACACAATTTGTCTATTAGTAGACCAGAAAAACCATAAAAAATACAGCCCAAAATATCTGGTTTGAGTAATGTGTTTGAAAGACTCTGTTTTTCACTCCAGCATATGGATTGAAAGGACAGATCCTGGTAACGTGCTCTCCCCTGCCTACTCCATAGCATTCTTTCTTGATTACATCTTTCAAAAATAGACCAATTTTAATATTTTACCATTGGTTTCAATATGAAGCTTCACATTATATCACACTGCTCCTTATCACACTGAATTCAGGGACAAACTTCAGAATAGTTCTGACAAGCTGTGAGATCTAGTCCCATAGCAGATACATAACAGTTGTGTCTAATTCAGACAACAAATCAACTTATAGGTAAATTTTTATAGTCACACCTTGGTTTTTATTTAAAGATAAATAAAAAAAAAAAGGAAAAGCTATTTATAAAGGATAGCAAAGCTTATTTTTTTAAAAAAGTTATTTTTATTAACGTATTAACACAGTTGTATTAATGGAATGATGGTTCATCCTCTTTGCTTCACAGTGAGAGACTAAAATTGCAGGGCCTTAACGACGCAGAAGCATCGTCAGATCTGCCAGCATGCTGGGTCACAGTTATAAGCCTTTTTCCCTTTAATCAAGTTCACTGCATTCATTCCAGAGAGACCAGATGGATGAACGAAATGAAATCCTGGATGAAGTTAAGGAAGTACCAAAAATACATTCATCTTTCACCCTTTCTCTCAAGCTGAAATCTTTTCTAAGTCATCTTACAAAGTTCTTTCTGCATTTTGCCATCAGCACGAATGGTAATACATATTAATTCTGAATATTAATACAAAATATTAGCAGCAACAAATAAAGTCAAAATACATATTTAAAGAAAGGAAGAGAAACACTGCTTTGGGAATTGTACTGACATGTAAAAATTAGACATCAAATTACAATATTTTCATACACAATATGAACTGCCAAAAGCTTTTATTTATGTAGAGAACCAGAATCCTGGGAAGTCAGAATTAGTAGGGAAAAACTGAAGTGATGACTAAATACTGCAGAGACCTAAGGAGTCTCTTCAAATATCCTCCTGGCAAATGCCTACCATTTTCTAGAACTCCATACTGAGGCTGAAACCTAAAGAAAGTTTTAGCTTCTCAGCTACATAATGAAGAGCATGTTAATTTCTGCTTCCTACACTATGAACCAGATAACACAGAGCTTGATCATCCTGCAATAAGAAAATGAAGTTAACTCTTTTCAGAAGGTCTAATGCATTCTTTGGACAACGAAGAATACAGATGAACACATTTTAATACTGGGAAATAAACTAAAACCCAAAGCTTCTAGAAATCTAAAGCTGAGAACATTCAAAAATATATCTGGCACATGGCAGGAAACATTTGAAAATCCTGCCTGTAACAGCACTCTATGCACTAACGTACAGGCCATCTCTGAAGCTTTAGCCTTAGTTTGCTTTGATCACTGGAGGAATTGCTCTGGGCCCCTGTGATTCTGCTGATCTAGTAGGACTGTGGCATCTTAATGAGGACTGATACTGGTGCATGTTGATCTCTGCCTCAGCCAAATTCAAAATTAGAACAAGGGAAAATCTGAATCTTCACTCAGTGAACACTGGCTGAAGTCACCTGAATCCCTCCCTGCACAAAGAGCTTCTTTTAAAACAAAGTCACAGTTTTGAAGGATTTCTCTGGACTGCAGCTTCAGTCACAGCCTTGTCACTTTGACACCTAAGCACTTAATAACAGCCCATTTCCCTTTCCTCTGTAATTAATACACCAAAACAAGAACACCTTTTAATATGTTATACAAGTTGATATTTTACTAAGTCTTATGCAAACAAAGTAAAGGTTGTGCCAAAAAAGCACCAGCCCTACCCAAGTCTGATGGCTGGTTCTTTCCAATGACATTACAGATGCTAAAGAACTCCAGGTAACAATGCTTTCAGTTTTCAGACAAGATGTCAAAGAACTGAACAGTAAAAGAATCCCAAAACATGCTTCTGCAGCTGAAAGGGCCGTGCTAAATGCTAACATCTGTTTTCCACGGACTGCATCTCTCTGAACCCCATAAAACTCTCTACCTCTGTCTCAGGAATAAATCTAAAAACGCATTCAGAGAATCACAGAACAGCAGGGTTTGGGAAAGGACCTTGAAAGATCATCTGGCCCAACCTGTCATGGCACAGGGAGCCTAGATGAGGTTATCTAGCACCCTGTCCTATTGCATCTTGAAAATCTCCAGCAATGGGCATTCTACCATGTCCCTGAGGGGGGTTGGTCCACTATCATCTAAATATCTCTGTTCATTTACACACTTGTTCTTTCAAAGAACTTGGGCGTGGCTCTGTACGCATTTTTAGGTGCTGGATACTCTTAATACCACAGTCAGACTAGCGTCTATGATCTCTGGCATCAAAGCCAAGTAAACAGGGAAATCCTCTCTGCGCAGTACATGTCATCTCGACAGTTCCTACATTCTACACAATGACTTCTGCCTTCCGTAGTTCAGCGTTTGAAGAGATCTAAAGGGTGGTGTTTTCTCTGGACAAGGTGTTGCTCCTGTGTTTCAAATACTAAACCTCTGTTTTATGCCCAAGTAGGACACGTACTATAGCAGTTCTCATACAAAGCTTCCTCTTGGGAGTCTCAGGCCAGCATTTTACCCAAACCTTTTCTCATCACCTCAAAAAGATCAAGGTGGATCTTGGAACTTATCTCCTGCAGGCATGTGAGAGATGTGCAGTGCAGAATTTTTGAAAAGGTTGTCCTAGAGAAACAGCATGTTCTCCCAGGACAGCTTGGCAGTGAGGCTGTAGTGTTCCCTAGCATCATTCAAAATTATTATATTGCTGAAGACAAAGCAGTTCAGTTTTCATCCTCTGGAGGATCTCCATCAGACCAGAATGACTCGCTGTATTGATCCAAGGCTGAGAATCAGGCTTTCACTCCCTCAGGAAGATCTTTTCAGTAAACAAGAGCTGGAGAGTGCTTGTGTGGAAACATTAGGATAGCTCAGATCAGGTGTTAGCACTGCACGAGTGCTGTAGACAAGGAACTGAAGCAAGAAGGATCCAGCAGAGTCTTGGATAAGTTTCAGTGAGAAATAAATTGAGTTCTAAAAAGGGGAACACATTCCTTCTTTCAGCTGAATTGCCTGAGCTGGGGTGATAATTCCAAATGGTAAACTTGCCTTCTTTTGGTCACATCTCTTTTCAACAGATACCCTATAAACCTGTGCTCTTCTAAAACAGCACAAGACAGCATTATGTACAAGCCAGCAACACTTCCTAGTTCTATCACACCTACCAAAGCCAGCTACTGCCTAGTTTCTTGCAGAAAACCTGAACATTTGTCTGATGAAACCTGCCCTGGGCTACCTTATCATACCTAAATACCAAATGGGAACCACAACTGCTACTGAATCTTTGAGGCCAATTCCATTCTTTATTCAATTACAGAAATACCTTGTTGCAGACTTTAAAAAAAACGTAAAACATCAAAGAAGCCTCCAAACCCCCAAACCATCACAACTGAGTACATAAGTAGCTCAGTTCTATGTTGGAAAAGATCACTAAACCACTTAGCAATTCTTTTCACATACTGGTAAGAGGAATTCTGCTCCAGGGGTCTGGACTGGCCTGGAAAACTTAAGAGGACACTGAATTCAAGTTCACAGCAAAGGTCAAAAAAGTCTCTCATGAAACTGCAGTAGAATTTCCCTGGGCTCTCAACGGCACAAAGATACTAACGTGCACAACTGCTCAAAGAACTCCAAATCAGAAAAAATAAATAAGTATTGGGTAAGCATATATTTTCTAGAAATCATCCTGCCAACACCAATATTGTATTTACACAGCTGGGATGTGTTCATGTTTTGTAAGAAGTAGCATGAGATTTGGAAACAATCCAGAACCTCTCAACTTCTAAAGCTTCCTGTATGAAAGATTTTTGCCATTCCACTGAGTCTGAGAAACATGAAGAAGTTAAAATGTAATCTGCTAAAAAATTAACTTCTTTAGGAGATCACTGCTTCATTGATGATACCCAGTCCGAACTGGTGCTCACCATAATTCCTTACAAGAAATGTGCATGCACTTCTCACATTTATAATGTGAGCATCCACATTTTAATATTCCATTCTTTTAACTAAAACAACAAAAAAGAAAAAAAGAAAAAAGGAAAAAAGGCTTAGGGTTACCATTTCTGGGATCTCTAAAATGCCATAAAGGATCATCCTTTTTTTGTAGATTTTACTATGAACTTCTTGATTTTTTTTCTTAATTGTCTCTTCTGATGAACATCAGATTCCTTTAAGAGCTACCACCTACTGGCTCAAAACCAAATTTAATTTTTTAAGGAGTAAACTAAGAGATCAAGTACTACTTTTCATTTTTTTCAAAGTAAATGTTGTCCCCTAAAATATAGTCACGTAAATCATCAAAATGGAGGCAGACAATCTATCTGCCTTTAGAATAACAAGGCAGATACTACAGTATCAGCAAAACTGAACAGAGTACTCAATCTCCATAAACAGCTGCAGTTAATATATTGTCACAAGATCACAAGAGAAAAAAACAACAAACCCTAAGCAGATGCAGATAGTACTTCTATCTCTAGCTAGATTCTATCTAGCTACCACTGAAGAGAAATTAACTTAATGATGCAAATGCAAATTAAGTAGATTGCAGAGATTACATCAAGCACTTCCTAAACAATACAGAAAAACATCTAACGTATTAAAGAAAATGAACTTAGAAGAATCCTTCTTGTCAACATTAATACAGAAACTTTTCAAAGGCCAGGCAAATCATTGTACACACCCATACACTGTTTTTTAGAATATGTTATAATTTTTCACCAGAATATATTGTGTAAATTACAGCATAATACTGGTTGTCAGGGAAGATGTTAAAAGCGCAAACTGCTAAAGGTAGCATTACTTTTAAGACTATACAGAGTATTACATCCTGTTAAAAATAAAATATTCTTATACAACCTTACTGGAAAACTGTGTTAGCTCTACTCAGTAAAATCTGAACAGTTAAAAATGTATTATATCTTGAGAAATAGCTAAAAAATTTATTCAATATATCACATACCACTGCTGCCTTACTGTGACCTCATTTTAATGACCACTAGAGGATGCTATGAGAACAATCAGACACAGTAAAAAATAAATTGGGACTGTACTGTGCCTATAAAATAATTTCATTTACAGAAAAATATCAGTTTATGAATTACTTCAAGGTTACTAATGTTCCAAATCAGGAGTTGTCTCATAAGCTTTTCAGACATTTGGCAAAAAAAATGAACCTCAAATTCATAAACACACATGCTTTTGAAAATAACAAAAAGTGAGTCTACATCCTTCTTCCCTGTGCCAGAAGAGTTTATTATAGAAAAGTTTCGTGACTTAAAGTACCCTGGTATTTAAAACAAGGAGACAAGGAACAGCTTTCCAACCAAGTGGACAAATTGATGATATCCCTTTAGCTATTGTAATTCATAAGAAAATAACCTCAGAATTACAGTTTTATAGATGATAAATTATTCAGTGGCATACTTACTTCATCCATTTTCATGCAAGTGCCAAAATCTGCCAGCTTCAGATGCCCATGTTTATCTAAAAGCATATTGTCAGGCTTCACATCTCTGTGTATCAAGCCCATGGAGTGAATTGCATCAAGAGCAAGAACAACTTCGGCAGTATAGAACTTGGCCCATTTCTCAGGCACATCGTAGTTGCTCATAAGGTTTACAAGATCTCCACCTGGCATGTATTCCATTACCATGTACAAGTATTTGTCATCTTGAAAGGCACAAAATAGCTGCAACATTAAAAAAGGAAAAGAGCAAAATTACTTCTCAGAGACAGCTAGGAAAAAGAATAAGGCATTTCATCTTGAAGTTTCATTAAACCAGAGTATATGTTTTCAGACTAATGTAAAGTAACTTGATTTTTTGTATCTAGATAATCTACATTTTCTATTAATTATGACAGTACCTTGAAATTTAATGAACTTCAAAAGCCCCTCATTTTCATTTTTAAGAAAACATAAAAAGATTTTCTGGTTATTTCAGTAGTATAAGCTTCTGTATACCCATGTTTGTCGACATTAAAAATTATCACTGAGTCAAAAGGCAAAATACCAGACCTGAGCTAGGGAGCATCATGTATTGATCTGAAAATAGTGTAACAGTGAATAGCATCTGAATTTCCGTATCTCTGTACTTCTTCACAAAAACAGTTGCCACTACTGATTTTATCCTAAATTAACACATATATTGAAACAAGAAAGAAGGAAAAAATTGTTCCTGAAGACAGCTATAACATAATACAAAGAAATTATGCTTAACAATAAAATAATGGTCCGGTATAGGTTGCACCTTGCATGTTTCCTACCAGCACGATAGTGAAAGTAAGTTTAGTCTTTTTAAAATGTATTTCAGCTGTAGAGTGCTGAAATTTTAGAGATTTCACCCAGCAATCACCAGGTCTGAAAACAGCCCAGACCAGCAAAAAGCCTTACTATCCAATGTTCAATGACAGTCTCTGAAAGTCTCTCAATTTATTTCTCAGGGAATACTGCTCCTTTACATCAAAAACTAAAATCATTCACATCCTTAAGTTACCCACACAAAATTCAATTGCAAAAGAGGAGATGTGGAAAGGAGAAAATCAAGAATGGGTAGTTTGTGGAGGACAAGGAACCATGAAAGGCAGGAACATTATTATCGAGATTCGACCTTTCGATTAAAATTAATTGTGTATTAGTGACAGAAGACCTATAGTACAAATACATAATTTAATACATATATATTGCACTGTATCTGTTTTCACAAATATACAATATATAATATGTTAATGCATTTGTTCATTAAAATCTAAATTAAAATCCAAAACACTCTCTGTATTCTCACATGTAAAGATATTAATACAACACAATAATAAATAACAACATTATGCCTTTATACAGCACTTTCACTACTGCCATCAAGGGCTTTCATTAAAAATTAAAAAAAAAAAAAAAAAAAAAAAAAAAAAAATTCTCTAGTACTCTGGTTTCACTTGTTTCTTACAGAAAAATGGCAGCACAGAGAAGAAGCGTGATCTGTCCCAGTTTCTAGCTCAGAACAGGACCTACATCTTCTTAAAGCCAGCTCAATGTCCTAGCCCACTGGACCACAATCCCTAAATACAACACACTAGTACACTTCATCACAGAAGGCACAATGACAAATGAATCAAGTGTAGTTGCAATTTACAAACACACACATTTATATCACAGTTGCTACACTTTCCCTTGAAAACTGAGTTTCGTACATTTCTTGTTACTCTCAGCTGCAAGTGAAAAGTAAAAATCATTCCAGACAAGTACTGTCATTAGAACAAAAACAAAGAACTCAATAAAAATTCATCTATTTGGTTAAGTATTTCTGCTGAATATAGGCAAGAATATTCTCAGAAGAGGAAAACATCTGAATAAAAAAACTTCGTAAAACATTTCTTGCATACATGAGGTAAAGTGTTATGAAGAGCATATGGAAACCGTAAGGTCAGTCTTCACTTATTAAACATACAGAAGCATGCCAATATATGTGAGAGCATTTAAGCATATTAATTATTTAATAAAATGAAGTACTAACAATTTCTCTAAGCATACGCTTTCACTACTCATTTATTAATTTGTATAATTTACCAGTTACAACAAACTGCAATATTTGGTACTAATTCTTCCAAAAGGCATAATTCTATTACAAACACAATGATGATACACGTCATGAGAGAGCTGCAAACAACAGTGTTCAAAACCAGCTGAGGAAGTCAACTTTCCATTACTTGGATATTACTTCTGAGCTGACCACTAAACATGCAGATGGTTTCAAGGAAACTACTGCTACAATCTCCTCTCTTACAGGAGACCCAGAGCATGTCCTCAGCCATCTATCTACCAAGTCACAGCTGAAGACAGAACTACTCAAAGCACTCTCAGTACTAATTGCCTGTGATTAATTGACTGTATTGTGGGAAAAGACTGGAAATAACATTGACCTTTGTTACTATATTTCTATACAGATTTTTTCTTAGTTGGAAACGTAACCTCCCTATTATTCCAAATAATTATGTAGTTATTTCAAAAATCTGTTTAATTGTTTTATGATGCATTTGTAGTCACTAAAATATAATCAACTGTCTAACACAAATACACAGAACTCATTGAAAGTGCTGTAAACATGTATTTTTTAAAAGCAAAAACTGAACCTAAACCATGATTTGAGTTTAGACGTAAACTCAAAACCAGCTCAAGACTGGGTAAAATGTATGGCTTTATTATTATTTTACTGTTACTTGTCATCCTTACCTGAACCACCCATGGGCTGTTGGCGAAGGCCATGATATCTCTTTCTTCCCAGAAAAAGGCTGAATCTGATCTCTTGATCATTTCAAATTTACTGAGTAGCTTCATTGCATAAACCTTTTGTGTCATTTTATGGCGAACCTGTTGGTTGAAAAAGAAGAGAAACGACGTTTTTAAAGTGCCTTGCAAAAAACCAATTAATACTGGCATAGCATATGCCTCCTGTGTGCAAGCTGCTTTCTGGGATGCAATGCCTTCAGGTCTTCATATACCCAGTTTTCTACACTGTAAAGATTTAAGAACTTTCAAACCTGGGAAGAAAAACCTAACAACTGCTCCAGAAAAACAGCAGGGTGGAACAAGAAGGATGTCAAATGAAGTAATATATGCCAGAGCCTGGCCAACTGCTGCAGCTGCCACTGCAACCCCAGAAGAGGAGCTGAATGATGTGTTACAGGCTGCAGGAGCTCTTAGGAGGCAGTTGTTTTATTGAAGATACACCCATACAAGCACATACGTCCTCATCATTGCTATGAAGATAAAAATGAGAGCTGACTCCAGTAGTCTGCTCACTCAAACTGAAACTAACCCCCTCATCCTCCCACAACAAAACAACCAACCAACGAACACCAAAAAAACCCAAACCAAACACAGCCCATAACTCAGAATCAGAAAAGTACCATCTTTCTTTAAAGAACTGGACTGCTGCTCTTAACATTTCCTGAGTAAACGTGCGAACTTCAAATCACCCAGAATGCACACACCCAAAAGATTATTCTGTTTACAGAAGAAAAAGGAAATGCTCATTAAAAGTTCCATTGTGTAAGGAGAAATAAAATGCAACCGCTTATACTTTCTTATTTAAATACCATCTATCCTTGCATTTACTCATGTTAGAAATTCTGCAAGCAGCCCACTTCAGGCTCTTCCAATTTCTATTTTTCACAAAAAAAACATTGCTCCAGTTTCTTAAGTAGGTCTTAAATTCACTTTACATAGCGTAAAATTAGTAACATAAATCCTGTTGGAAAATTAGAACTTTTACGAAAAAAATCTCAAAATATTTTTTAAAACTTCATCTGAATACGGACATGAAACAAGATCCTTAAGGTACAGACTGTAAAGTCATTAATCTGTTAATGAAACATTAGATTTATGCTACTTTATGAAACAACTACTAAAGGACCAGTTTTTTAACATTCTTGAGTGTTCCTTGCAGAAATCGAGGTGAGAAGTATTAAGCTGTAAGATGTCAGAGTCAGCACAAAAAACAAATGAAGTGCATCTTAAGTTTCAGTGTCTTTTCTCCACATGAAAATAAAAAATTCAGTGGACTAATTTGTGAAATCAGAACCAAATGGTTAAGATTTTCTGGTGCATTTAAAAGCCTCCCATTTAGTAAATTAAAACATCTCTCTCTACCTCTTAGTTTTACACAATGTCTGAGTTTAATAATGCTACTTGAAAGAATGTTTAATAGGCCCTTTTCCTGAACAGCTGTAAATGTTTCAGGTTCATTACAGCTGCAGTGCAAAGCTTCAGAGAGGCACCTATTTGGTTTACAAATACGGGAGCATCAGCCTTTTGCTCCTGAGGGGCCGTAAACATTAATGTTGCTGAAACCAACAGGAATGACCTCTAGAAATATGATAAGGTGTGTGTGTAATCTTGGAAAAGGTGAGAACATGAACAGAAACAGGATTATTTATGAATCTACCGTTCTTGAAATTGGGTGTTTTTACTCTGAAGATACAAGTACAAAAGTTTTAGCATGAGGATCTTGCATAGGTTAGCACTAACCAACAACTTTCCATACAGCTAGATCAAAACACCTCCAACCAAACACCAAACCAGAAACACATTACATATGTGTATTAATAACTCTATAACCTTGTACATTTTAAGGCACTAACAATTAATCTGCAAGTGAAGGTGTCCTTTAAAAGGCTTTTGAAAACTATCTCCTTCCTTTTTACCAGTCCCACATGGATTACTTACACTTAGTGGTACACCGCAAACTATACTCCATAATGTAGAGCTTTTGTAATCCTGCTCAAAACCAGAAGAAAGAAACACAAAGACCAGCAACCTCAAAAGGATACTGTTTAACTGAAGATGCATTTTCTGTGACTGTTCACGTAAAGCAACGCATTCAGTAGTTTACTCAAATCACAGTGTACTCTTGCCAGTGGGCAGTGTGCATCACTGCCTTCATTTACAAGAATAATTGTTTCCCACTGTTTGGGGAGGGGGGGAAAATTCTTGGGTAAGTCAGCACAGTCTGATGCTCATGCATAGGAGAAGCAAAGTAAACAGGGCTACGGGGACCAGAAACCAGTCTGCGCGCCTCTTGAGGGTCATGCCAATAGGTTATTAGTTGGCTAAATTATTTCTTGAGGTATTTTCAACAGAGGTTCATTCTCTGTACAAAACAACAAGGAACCAAAGGAACAGCTAGCATACTGGCACACACAGAGACTGGTGTATTGACACAACTTACAGGTGAACAGACCTACCTGTGATAATACTCCTTTATCACCATCATGGCCACTGGAGACAGCCTATTTAGCTGCTAGCCACTGCACTCTTTACCCAGAGCTATATTTGCGCATACATGTATTGGCTCATACCAGATTATTCATGTATTAAACTGTCATGATGTTTCAATTTCTTCCAACTGTTTAAATGAACTGCCAAATTTAAACTGCAGCTCACCAGAGTAACTCTCAAAATAGGTAGGAAAATCCCTTCATGCCATCAGCCCTGAGTAACATGGCCTCATTTAACTTACGAAAATGCATAAAGAAGTAAGAATTTCCCGCTGCTCTGCTTCATCAATCTAAGACTTTCAAAAAATAACTACATGCAAAATGAATCCCTAATTTCTACAGCATTCATGTCAGAAGTCAATGTGTAAGCAAAAAAATAACATATCCATTTGAAGCTATCAGATTGAGAATGCATACTGATCATGGTACCATCTCTTATGATGAAAATGAAGATCCTAGAGTGGAGTTGTGAAATGAACTCTAGGGTTTGAAATAATCACAAATATCCTGAAATACTTGAACAGAACCCTAAGAAGTTACTACAGATAGGGTACCAAAATTCATGTCCTGACAAATTTTCAGGTAATAGACCACGACTGCTTTATTTGTATTACTACAGAAGGTACAGATCAGCAGCGGCTGGGGGACTAAACCTAATAAGGAAAGCACTTAATGGAAAAAACTAAACCAGCACCAACCACTGACTTGCAACACTAAGAAATCACATAGTAAAGACTGCCACCTGGACCATCCTTTACTACCCAAATACAAGAGCTAGCCTTGCATTAGTTTTCTATTCGAGTACATGATCAAGTCAGCCTGCTGGGTCACTGCAACATTACACTACTTTATGATTAGACCAGGGAGAGGGAACTAAGGATGTTTCAATTTCAAATCAATAGGATTTTTCTTCAGTGAAAACAAACAAGACGTACTCAGGATGTGCTTTCATAAATTACTGTTTCTGCATAAACCACAAGTAACATATTAAGCAACTTAATTCAATTTTTCTGTCTGCCATAGACACCAGCCACTTTTATTCACAGCACTGCGTAACAGAAGCAACCTGGCAGCTGGCAATTATTTTCTTAGCCTTCCCCATCACTACAGACCCAGCAAAGCCAGAGGCCAGAGCTCAAGAGTAGAGTTTAAGACGCCTGAAGTTACAAGCAAATTGTTTTTCTACCAAAGTCAGATGCTCACTTGACTGGACTGATTTTTTTTTATTAATTTTTGAGGGGAGGAAAGGAGGAAAAGTGAGGCTTTTTTTTTAAATCTAGCTGTATGATACAACAGTAGAGAACATGGCTTTTTTTTCTTCTAGAAGCTGGAAAGCTGATCTCTCCCACACCACTTCTTTCACAAGAAAATGCCAGACTGAAGCAGAAAGCTTGGGGAAACAAAATTAAATTAAGGAGGACATAGCTGACTATTTTATGCTGTATATGAATAAACTTATAATTTGGCTTGTTATATTCAACTATTTCAAACACGTAACAAATATTTGTGCTACAAATATTTATGAACAACGGCACACACTGATAAGGTGACATTCATGAATTTAACCCATGTACTTCATCATGTTTTATTTATGGTTCTTTCTGCGTTTAGCCCCCACTGAAGCAAATTTCTATTTTGATCACAGAATGTGTTGCAAAATATTTTGATTACTGCAAATCCATCATCTGCAACTGTGGTGTTAACACTCTGAATGGAGCAGAAATAGATAGAGCTTAGCTCAATAGTTTAAACTTGTATCATACCTTGAGAGGCAAAAAATCTAGGTATGTATGCTCTCATCACCAGCTAATATTAGTTCAGATCTACAGCTGTTTATTTATTAACCTACTGCTTTTTAGCTGTAAGACTGCGTAACATCATGATTTCTACTTACATTTTTTACATCCCAGAAAAAGAGTGTTCTTTTAAATTGGCATTAAGTACAGAAGAGCTCTATATGAACACACAGAAGTTCCCTTCCAGAACCAAGCATTCTTAGGTTTCCTTATCTGGGGGCTTGAAGGGCTTATATAAAGAATAAAAAACTCCCATAGGAATAATGAAAAAACAAAACAAAATCATCATTATATGACCAAGTTACTACACATTTTACCATTACATTATAATGATGAGGCAAACGAGAAGTTTGTCTTCAGACCCCTCAGACTACTCAACTGCAGTGCACACACTTTGAAAAATCAACTCTACTTTAGAATGCAAACTGTGCATGACCCAGTGAATTAAGAAAAAAAGTTTCCATTCTAAGCCAGAACAAAGAACTTACATTTGAAATGAAACGTTAAGAAAATGAAAATTATTCATAAAAACCTATAGGTTCTTAGAAATATACATATAAAAAAATATATTTTGATTTTTGAAGCACATTAAAAATATAATTCCGTTGGATGCTCCCAGCAAATACATCAGCATGACTTCCAAAAAATGCACAACTTCTATTATTGGGATCTTCTCTTCTTCATCTCTCCCTCCCTGCCCCAAGAAATGAGGAACTGCTGCTTACAACCCGATTCTTCAGTGACTTCTCATGCAAGTGCATGAAAAGGAGCATCTCTATTAGCTGCTATAAGTGGATACATATATAATGATTAAAATGTCTAATAGAAGACTTTAAAACAAACCATCTGATGTAACTGTCAGTGAAAAAACAAAGAGTAGACTGCTTTCTTAGAAATCTCCCTGCAGCAGGCCCTTCACAAATAAGCAGGGTTCTGCTGAAGGTTTTGGTTTTGTTTTTAATCTCTTCCAGCAAGGATATAAAAGCATATAAAGATAGATATTAATTCTTTAAAGTTTTATTTGAAAAGGGGACTCTTAAGAATCTTTGGAAATACTCCTCGCCATACCTCATAAATTCTTCTGCACTAAAAATCTGCAAATGACCCAGAAAGAAATAGGGAAGAGAGAGCTATATTCTCATGTTGTCACACTTGGATGCAGTTGCCTTAAAATCTGACATAAATGAATAAAAATTGTCAACTGAATGTTAACTGCTATATGAATTACATCTAAATTTGCACATCACCCATGGGTCATATAAATGGTCTTAGGCTAGTTGCAGGGGGTTTCCCAGTTCTGAACAATTTCACTAATACTAATATGCAGAATGAAAATAATTTTATAAATGGCTAATAAATTTATTGCCATTATATGTTGTGGAACTCCTGTAACACTTGAGAACTAAGATCTTGCCACATTTCTAATAAAGTTCCAACCATTTCTGTATTTTCCAAAATTGCTTTACATTTTAAGACAATAGGATTGTCCTGGCTTCTAGTGCTAAATTCCATGTCAAAAGGCACAAGCGAATAGGGAATTTCTGTACCTTGTAGCAACAAGATAACAAGCTTCAATTGCTGCAAATTAGTCACTCCCCTTTCCATTGAAAGATGTGACTTGCTTCACATCTCTCTTCCTCTAAAATCACATTGCTCAGCTGGTGCACAGCTCTCTGTTAAGCTCATGGTAACTTGTCCTCAGTGTTTGTATTCTCAGATTCTATCCACAGTTTATTTCAAAACTGACATATCAGTCCATTTTATACGTATGTCCACATTTTTGTGCTATTTATCACACAGTACGAGCTGGAAGTCCAGGAAAAAGTAAAACTGAATGAAAAGCAGACCATGCATGAAGTTACTTGATGTATTCTGATTGCCTTTCTTAAAAAAATATAATTTCTCCACAATATAAATTTAAAAAGTAACCCCATTCTTACATTAGATATTATATAGGATACAACGTTGGTTGGACAATGTCTTAAAAAAAAAAATCTTATGTGAGTCATGTCAGTTAACTAGAATGACAGCATCACAATTACAAGAGCAAAACAATTTTTCTGTCACACTATTAGCTTCCTCTTTCATAGGAAGGTTTCAGATATTGCTATGCAGTGATACCTGAGGTAAAAAAAGAGTTAGAACTACCATGAACTGCCTTTTCCACTTGATCAAAGGATAGCAAACTGTTCTCTAAGAACCTGAAAATCCATCATGTTTTAAACTCAAAGGTACTGTTTACTATGCACAGAAATGACATCATGATACAATGAAAATAACACTACTTCTTTGCAAGAATGCATTTTTAGATATCATGCATGCAAGCCTGAAGAAGGTTTTGGCTAGAGCCGTAAATCTGTCTAATCATTAAATCATTACATTCTTACCAGCTGCACTTCTCCAAAAGCCCCTCTTCCAATCACTTTAACAACATCATAGTCTTCAGCTTTCATTTGTAAAGCTCGGATTTTTTCCACAATCTTCTCATCTAAAACAAATCAAACAGAAGTTGTGATAATGCATGTACTAATAGAATACAAGAATCTTATCTAACTTTTTTCATTAAGAGTCAAAAAAAGCTGTATTTATTTGAATATTTAGAGCCTTCTTAGCAATTATTTGAAACCTGCAGTCACTATTAATATCCCTTTTCATTACAGTTTGGAAATCATTAACCATCTACCTTTGGCTGTAACAGCTGAAGTGCCTTTGGGATTTTGCTGACTCTCATTTCACATCTCTAATAATCATTCATGAGCTTACAGGAACACTCTGGTAACAAGAAGAACCAGAGATGCCTAACTTGAAACTTCAATTACTCGTTGCGACAGGATCCACTGACACTACACCAATAATGCAGGGGTGTGAAGTACCTGGTTCACACCAAAACACTGCAAGCTGCAACCTACTCCTAGGCACCTGGAGGGTTCAAGAGCAGACAAACAGCAAGGAATATCTCCCTGTAACCTCCATGTACAACTTCAGATCACACAAGCATATGACTTCAAATCCACTCATTCGTCCCATATGAAATAATGATTCAAGTTTATGTATGTATACGTAGCTGCTGGCCACCTCAAAGTGCTTTTTAGTGTTCACTGCACATGTAGTTCTACCTTTTTAAAATTAGGTCTACAATGCTCTGTTGAAGTATCCTCTAGTGCAATACTCTGTAGACAAACTGTCTTTCAGTATTTTTCTTGTTGGCAGTTGTGGGAATCTGTAAAGGCAACCAGTGAAATTCTGACCTCAAACAACTTCTAAAAACATGCAAGGTCCTAGACTCTTCAATTTTGTAAATGTAGCATGCTAGTGAATGCATTCCTGGCTAAATGCATTTAAAAAATCTATTCTTATTACAAGCACAAAAGATAATTGGAGCAATGAATGGAATCCATAATACTAGAGGTAATCTTTCTTAAGCGTGACAAGCTTTGGCACTACCCCCATACATGCTTAGAGGAAGAACAAAAAGCGAACAGGTTGTCTGGAGCAAGACCTCTACCAGGGAAGAGCATGAAATTGTATGAAAAGCTGTGGATGCTTATATTCAGAGAGAAGCAGAGGTGTACGTTGCAAGATTCATGTTTAGCATCAAATACCGCAGAATTTGATTCCAAGAAAGGCATTAAAGTGGATCTCAGATGTGAATACAAGCAAAACAAAGAGGGATCAGAGATCAGTTAATTCAGTATGACATTAAAGATGACATTGTCAGAGAGGAGTTAATGATAATGAACATCCAGTAAATAGTTTAACCATTCCTACATATTCATGAACCTGGCAGCTACAAGCAATCCAGGAGATGCCTGACTATCAAGAACATGCCTTTTGACCTAACTGAGCAGCAAGCCCAATCAGGAAGACACTCAGAGCTATTACTCACAAACAAAAAAGAACTGGCCAATGATGACAAAGTCTGTGGCAGCTTGGCTGAAACAACCATGAGACGCTGGGACTTAAGACCCTGAGAGAACTGAGGAAGGAAAATAGCAGACCTTAGACTTCAGGAGAACAGATGATGGCTTGTTCAGGGAACTCACTGGCAGGATCCTGTGGGAAGCCACTGAGGAGGGTAGAAGAGTGGGTTGATCTTCAAAAATGGTATGTTCACAGCACAAGAGCAGTCCATTCCAGTGAGTTAGAAACAGAGCAGGCATGGCAGAGAGCCAGTCTGGCCAAATGGGTAACCGCTGCCTCAACTCAACCACAAAAAGCAGGTTTGGAAAATGGAAGAAGGGAAGAGCTACCCAGCAGGAATCTTCCAAGCATGGACTTGGGAAAGCCAAGCTCATCTGGAATTGAAACTAGCCAGGGTTATGAATGGAAACAAGAGACTCTATAAATACACTGGCAATAAAAGAAAGAATGAGGCAAATGTGGGCCTGCTGCTGTCAGTGGGGTAGGGGATCTAGAGCCAAAGGACATGGAGAAGATCGAGGTACTCAATGACTTTCTTGTCTCAGACTTCACTGGCAAGCTTTGCTCACAGGCCTACCAGCTCCCCACAGCTAACAGCAATGTGGGGCAGCGAAGTACTGCAGTAGAGGAAATCGGAGTTAAGGACCAAGAAAGCAAAACTGACATATGCCGGGCCATGAGACAACACAAATGCATCTGAATGTGTTGAAGGGGCCAGTCAACACCACTACCAGGTTGTTCTTTATCACCTTTGAAAGGTCATGGCAACCTAGGGAGGCTCCTGATGACTGGTAAAGGGCAAATGTCACGTCTGTGTTCTAGAAGGGCAACAAGGAGGATCCACAAAGCTACAGGCTGGAACAGCATGATGATTATAGAGCAAATCCCTCTGGAGTCCGCTTCCAAGCCCTTGACGGACAAGAAAGGATGGGAACAGCCGGAATGGATCTAAAAATGGACAAACTGTGTTTGATTACTCTGACTGTCTCCCAAGACGAGATGTCTGTCTTGTAGATAAGAGAATAGCAGTATACATTTCCTTGTCTTGACTGTACCATGACTTTTAACACAGCATCTCAAAGTATCTCTGTAGCCAAACAACACCAACATGGATTGTACAGAGAAATTACAAGGTGACTGGAAAACTCGCTGAAGAAAGAAGAGATACTAAAAAAACAACTAACCAACCCCCAAACAAACAAGCAAACAAAACAAAAAAAACCCTACCCCACATATATATAATGACAGAATATATATTAATAATGAGGGAAGAGAGACTGCCGGTAAAGTTGAAAGGACAGAGGCAACTAGAACCTCAAAAGACATATCTGCTACATTCAGTGTAACAATAAGACCGTGAAGCAATCCAGAGTTCAGAGAATTCTGAGGCTGTTTTCTACAGTGAATCATGAAAGCTTAGACATAAAGCACAGGACAGCAACAGCTTCACCCACACCGAGTTTATTATTTCAGTCATGACATGAATTAATTTTGCAGTTTGAGAAGGGAAGACTTCCTTGGAATCTTACTTAATTGCAGATCAGAAGCTTTGGCACAAGACAAGGAGGACAAATGCAAATTCACAGGAAGCAGCACTAGAGAAGGGGTATCAGCAAATTTCAAGTCAAAGAATGTGCAATTATGCATTTGAACACAATGTTACATCTCATGAGGGAGAGGAATCACGTGAATTTATTTTCAAATGTTTCTGAGATGTTTCAAATGTTTTCAGATGTGTGAGATGAGATGGCAGGGAGTTAAACGTGTTGATAAATACGGTGTAGTTTTACACAGTTCCATTATTGGAGGAATACTTCCCTGTTCAAAGTAAAACACAAAAATTACAAACAATGTTAACAGAGCTCCAGTGAAACGGTTTTAGCACTGAACACTACAGTTAAGCAATGAAAAACTCAATGATGTATCACATAAGCAAATGAGATACCAACTGAAAAATCACCAGTTTTATCAACCCTGTGAAATGCTGAGGATGGAGAAATCCTACCTGCTCTTCTAAAATACGAGTAGAGTATTTCTATTGGAATGGACCTAGTCCAGCTGCCTGACCACTTTAGGCTTGACCAAGATGCAAAGCATGTTATTAAGGGCATTGCCCAAATGCCTCTTAAACACTGACAGGCTTGGGGCATCAACCACCTCTCTAGGAAGCCTGTTCCAGTGCCTGACCACCCTCTCAGTAAAGAAATGTTTCCTAATGTCCAGTCTAAACCTCTCCCGGAACAGCTTTGAACCATTCCCACACCTCCTGTCACTGGATAACAGGGAGAAGAGCTCAGCACCTCCCTCCCCATGTCCCCTCCTCAGGAAGCCACAGTGAGCAATAATGTTGCCCCTCCTAACTCCTTTAATTAAAACTTAATAATCTTAGTTAATAACAATAATCATCAGGTAAGGTCACAGGTGTTGTGGAGGTATCAGTTATACAGACAGACTGTTTATTTTGTCACAAAATTTAACAAATATGGAACAGATAATCAAAGCATGGAACTAACCTGAAACAAAAACCAAGGCTGCAAGAAAGCAAGCTCAGAGAAACCCTGAAGCAATGTCATAATTACAACACGCTGGATCATATGAATTAGTTCATGTATCACATAACATGATCTAATTCAAGGTGCAGGAGACCTTTTGAACATTATCCTTTTAGTAGAGGACTGCATTTTTGGAAGGTTTCACACAGATGAGTTTGTACATTTGTGGTACCTATATGCACAGACTGTACCCAAAAGCCTCGTGAATCTGCAACAGCACGACGCCCAACAGAACAAAAATGTTAGATTTAAAGGAAGATATTAGATGGACTCCCCAGCCCCAGAATATAATTGAATCTTATAAAAATATTGTTACATTTGAGAAAAAGTCCTAAAATGTGAGAATGTCATCATGTATGACTCAGTTTTCTTCTTTTAACACATGAAAGGACTAGGAATGCTGGATAGCGAGAGTATTTAAAGACAGCTTTTGATTTACTACTTGAAAATGCCACTATAACCTTTAAACAAATGAAGATTCACTTTCTGAAAGGGCAGAGTGTTTGGATCACCACTGACAGCTGGCAGCAAGAATGTGTCTGAAGGTTACAAGTGCTTGTGAAAATGGAATAAATACCTGAACAAGAAGAGTAGAAGGGGGTGGGGAAGAGGAGAAAAGCAAGCTTTTCTGCTCTTAAAGGGAGGAAAAAGTCATATTCAGATTATTTTCTTAAAAGTTTAAAAGAATGTGTATCAGGCAGTTCTGGGGCATGTATATATGAGGAGTAAAAATGCAAGGAAGTGCAATTTTATCCACACAGAGCAGACAGAGTCAGTGAGTGCTGCTACGGAGCACATTAAGTCAAAAGCTGCTGCCTTAGGCAAAAGCCTAGCCCGAAGTTAAACTAAAGAACAGCCAGGAAGTGCTGCAATCCCACACCCACCCAAAACCAAAGAAAAAGCACAACAGAAAGAATGAAGTAATTAGGGGTGCATACATGTTATCTGGTCAAAGGTGTGTGAGTTACAAGAAGCTGCTGGAAACTTTACAGAAGCAGCAGAAATTAGAAAGCATAGTTTCAGACAGGCTAGTGTTTCCCCCTCCAGGTCAAAGAAAAGGGGACACAAGAAGTACAGTGTCTTGCACAGATGAAAGGAGTGGAAGATAAAGAAACAGAAAGCAACAGTCCTCTGATATGAGATACCCTTGACTCAGTGAAAGTAAGCCCAATGGCAGAACTTAATTTCTATCTACCAAGTACCTGAATGGAAAAGTGGTTAATAACTCTGATCAGTAAGTTGTTTATACATCTGAGACATTCTGTCTTAAACACTGTGGCTCTAATTCATCCTCTGCTTGAGAGAAGTTGCTTATTTGATACCTCTCCCATCACTCCTCTTACCAGAACAGTACCATTAAGAATAGAATCAGAGCCTGACCTGCAGAGGTGACTGCAAAGACCTGGCAAGGAATAGCCTTAATAAAGCCAAAAGAAAACCAGAGGGGCAATTAGCTCCTTAATTCAAGTTCCACGGTGTACTAAATTTCTCAGATTCTTCTTTGGCATCTAACATTTCATCCGTGTCACTGACAGGAAGCATGGAGCACAGAGAATTACAGTCACGACAGGCATTAAGACCATACCAGACAATTCATTTCTGTTGCTAATCGCATGGCTGGCATATGATTCAGCAACTCCAAGCAACATAACAGATTGTAAAGGGAAGAACCAGAACTGTCACTTTTGCAAGAATTTAATCTTAATAAATAGATCTAAGTAAGCATGACAAGAGGAAAATGGCAAAAGCAACCTTCCACGAAGTTTATTCAGGGATTTAGCAAAGCTGCTGCACCAGTGACACACCTGTACAAAAAGTTCCTTCCACTGTAAATAGAAGTTTTCCAACCGCCAAAACATCAGCAAATAATTTTAACAGTAGTTTCCCAATTTTTGAGTGATGCTGAATAATGCATAGGAAGTCATTGACCCATTTAGGGAATCTAGGCTTCTGGATTGTACCCAGTCTTTTGACGGCACCGGTCCCTGTGCTGCTGTGTGGACTTCCTCAACATCCATTCTTCATGCCCTTGTACTCCTCATAATAAGATTATAAATTATTTCATATTTTAAACTGTTGCTTAACACTGTTACTTAATTAGTTAACTTTCTGCTCCCAGAAGTTAAAGGAGTTAACAGGCTATGTAGTACCGGCATGCGAAACCACTACAAAAGGCACATGTCACTAAGATCTATCAAATCTCAAGATGGTAGAAAAAGTGACTTGGAAGAATTTACTCAACCTGTTGTCATAGCCAAGGTGAAAAAAGAGAAAAAGAAAAGATCAAGAAAGATTTGTTACACCGAGCCCATGCTGGAAAGCTTACGTTTCTTTTCTAAAATAAGCAAGCTAGTTTTTGCTCTCAAGAGGACTACAAGATTCTTCTCATTGTTTCAGGAACTAAATATTACGTTATGCTTTCCTGTCTCATAAATGCTCAAAAAAAGCAGCAATTTAACCAGAATTCTAACAGTTGATTAAAGCAATAGAGAAGACTGAAAAGGAATGGTTGTATTACATGAGAAACTTATGTGCGTCTTATAATAAAGATATGCTCTACTTTGGTTCAAGGCCTTAAGAAATAAGAATACTAAGGGAAAGCAGGCAATGAAGGAGTTTCTTGCATATTAAACATGCAAAGAGGCTGCTTTGGCAAAACAGTCACAGATACAGGATACACCAAACTCCTCTAGTATGGGCAATTAATAAACTGTAGCTTTGAGAAATGAGTTAAAACATCTGAGCTGCAGCTTGAAACTATGATTTGAGCTGAATACCAACGTCTCAGCTGAGACACAAACTATTCCATTTTTAAAATAAAATAAGCTATTAATAAAACTTTAACCTGATTAGTAATGACTCGCAGCAAGTCTGAAGTAGGGTGCGTTCAAACCCCTGGGAATATGGTAGGAAAGAAAAATTTCCTTCTCAGTGTTACTGTGGAAGAATTAAGTGATTGACTGGAAGTGTGATGATTATTGCAGTGTTCTCCATAATTTTTGAAGATTTGTGTAATATGGATTAAAAGAATCATAAGCAACTACTGTGAGGGAGATGAAGCACTGGAATGGGTTGCCCAAGGAAGTTGTGAATGCTCCATCCCTGGTGGTGTTCAAGGCCAGGTTAGACAGAGCCTTGGGTCACACAGTTTAGTGCCAGGTGTCCCTGCCCAAGGCAGGGCGGTTGGAACTAAATGATCTTAAGGTCTTTCCAACCCAAACCAGTCTATGATTCTATGACTCTGCCTCAGCTGCTTTGCTTTGCACTAGAAAGCTAGCTCACAAGACGGTCCTGCCACCTCTCTGTGGTTGCCTCAGGAAGCCACGAAGAGGGATGCAGGCTCCAGGCCTGCGGCACAGACCGCTCATCAGAGTCTGTCAGAATCTTTTGACAGTAGTTTTCATCTAGACATTTGCTAAAGCCCTTCAGATGCTGAGAAAAATCAGAATAGATAAGAACTCGCTGTTCCCTAACCAAAGGAAGCAACAACTTACTGTTCCATAAATTAATACAATTCCAAGTCCAAGATAGCGAAAGGCTTCAGCAATCACATGTACACTCTTCCTTCCCACTGATACTTGCTATACTCAGAACAGTTTCCAAAAAAAAAAACCAACAAAAAAAAGCTATGGGTTGAGCATCTTTAAATTGCCAGAACAACAATGCCAGTAAGAACCCAGTTGTCCTCCTGTTTTTTCCTGTACCTGAGCAGCTCCATTTGTGCTAGCACAAGTGCAGAAAATGAAAATCAGAAACTGGTCTTTGCTATTGTTTTGCCTGACTAGTTTTAATGAAAAGAAACAAAGCAACGAACCACACTGCAGGAAAAAACTCAACTGTTCCCAAGGTTAAATTGTTTTCCCATAATTGCTAGCTTTGATAGCTGACAATAGTGGTATTCTGATTAGAAAAGTTTCTAATTTTGTCAACTGAAAAATAGAGTAGTAATGTAAAGGTGAATCTGAACAGCCCACGAAAGGTTACTGATACTGTCATCTACGTCATTTTCTTGCTGTAGCTAGGGCTTTTCCCTCACATCACACATACAGTGCACAGTTGCAGGTAACAAAATTACTTAAAATTGCTGTTCCTAACCCTTTCTTTCCTGAATACCTGCTTGAATTCCATTAAACTCAAACTGAGAAAAATCCCAAAGTATGCCACTCCTTCCTTATCTGCTGTTTCTTATTTACTCTCTTTTCAGTGACTTCTCCAAATGAGACTTTACTGGCAACCATAAAGCTGTACTTCCAGCTATGGAGCTCTGATAAACCTCATGGAGAAGCACTGAATTCCAAACTCACCACAGATCACTACACCAGCCACCATTTAACTGAGGAGCATGAGTGGATATTCAAAGGAGTCCCAGAGCAACGGAGGGCAGACACACATAGCTCTTATCAGTAAAGTGTTAATCTATTTCTCTCTTCACATTTTAAAGCAAATAATCCACTACTTTTAGAAGGGAAAAAAAATTGTTTATCTACATGGATAGAAAACACTTTAAAAAGATAAAATACAGCTACTCTGATGTAAGTCTTCCATTTCCACATGCTAAATAATTCCAAGATTCTGTCTACAGTTAATTTCGGAAGCATCACAAACATTTACACAAAGGTTCAAAAATGCACCAACAGATTTTAAGGTACAATAATTTAGTTTTAATACAAATCAACAGAAGACTTCTCTGTTAGATTAAATAAGACTGTATATACTATGCTGACATTTTCAGTAATTAATTCCTAAAGAATACTAACTGGAACAGGCTTTGCAAATTACGTCACTGTACAAGTTTAAGATAAAAAAATAACATAAACCTGATTTTTCCAACTGCAGTTGGGAAAAAATACAATCTGCAGCTGCTATTTTCCAACACATTTTCAGCAATACAATGACCCCCAAAAATAAAAACTTCTCTGTGATAAAAAATTACTGCATTTTTGACCACTCAGCTTCCTATGACTGAAACAACAACATCATTGCTTAAGAGCCACAAGCAACTTACATCTATTTAAGAAATTATCGATGTTCTTGTTCTTCCTCAGTGCTGGATAATCCAGATCAAGGACCAAAGAATTCAACCCATCCTGAAAAGAAAAAAAAAAAAAAAAAAGAAAAAAGTTGAGTTCTAAAATCTTAATTAACAACTTTCTTAAACCTACTGCACTGCGACTGATGATACATTATTCAAGCACGCATTACACATTCCTAGTAGGCAAATCAAACAAGCTCTCAAGTGTGTTTATAAACCAGCAAAGGAGCTAACACACACTGACTGGCTCCAAGTTGGTCTATAAACAGTACAGAGACATTACCACAGATTAGTGGCACTGGGACTTAAACTGGAGTATTAGTTTTAATCTTCATCGGTAGGTAATCTTATTCATTAAACACTGATTTGAGATACTCAAGTCAATCTGTGTTTCTTACTTTCATTACACTTTTCCTGCATATTCAAGACCTTCATATTTGTATTACCCCTATTATCACTTTGATCACAGTCTCTACCTTCTCATTCTCAAAAACCATCTGCACATTCTCCTTCTTGGAAGCAAGGCAGAACCTAAACTTAACACGACAATTCACAACATAATTCAAGCTCACAAGACTAGATCACTTTTCTTAAGACGCTCAAGAGAAGACAAGCCAGAACTCTACATGCTGTTCTGCTACCAATTATCAATGCCTCCATAGAAAATAGTTGAGACCTCTTAAACTGGCAAGGGATGTCATCAAAATCTAAATTAAAAATAGTACTTTAAACACCTGTTACAAGACTTAATTCCACCTTTCAGCAACTTAGAAAAACTTGAAAAAATTGTTCTTCAAAACACAAAGCCCTTTCTAGTTACAGAGGGAGAAATAAAAGTTAGTTTCAGATACTAAGAAAAGCCAGAGACTCCGTTCATACTTGCCACCTCCAGTGACCTGCCTGAACTGGCAGCTTTATTCACTGCTCTAAGGACAAAAGCCTGAGACTGTTTCTTTAGGTTTTTGAGCCTTGACAGGGCATCACACAGACTTAAATCAGAGACCACATCACATTTATCAATAGGCAGCCAATAGAACTAGACAGCTTTTCAGTCTACTTAATAACTGAGGCTACCGCTAACAACCTACTGGTTTATTTTTATTTTCCTAATACATCTGGGAGGGGGTCATTTTTTGCATATACCACTAAAATTTTTACACTCATTCTAATAATGTACCTACCCAGAGTTCAAAACAAGGCCCATAATTACTAAATACATTTTGAATGCCAGACTGTCCTAAATACGCACATACACAAATAAGTCTACCTCTTCTGTGGAGATGTCACTTTTCACCACAAAAAGAATTAATGATTAAGCACAGTTTAAAAGTTAAGTGATTTGATTGCAATTTTTTTCTTTTTTTAAATTTAATCTAACAAATGCAAGTGTCTTGGGAAGTTTCACAGACAAGCTGACAAAGTACAGGTTAGACAAGTGATGTGGATTAAAACCAGGCTGAAAGACCAGACCCCAAAGACTGTGATTAGCAGCACCAAGTCCAGCTGGAGGCCAGGCACTAGTAGTGCGCCTCAGCACCTGGCACTGGGGCCACTACTGCTTAACATCTTCATTACCTTCATTACATCTGCTGCACCCTGCAGACAGTACAAATCCAGGGCTTAGAGGGTGGCTGGCACACCAGAGTACTGTGCTTCCATTCAAAGGGACCTCAACAGACTAGAGAACTGGACAGAAAAGAGTATCACAAATTTCTTCCAGGGGAAATGCCAAGCTCTGCTTCTGGGAAGGAATAATGCCAGGCACCACGTACAGGCTGGGGCCTGACAAGCTGGAAAGCAGCTTTCCAAAAAATCACCTGAGGGTCTTGATAGACAAGCTGACCATGACCCAGCAGTGCATCCTCACAGGGAAAAAAAGACCAACAACGTCCTGGGCTGCATTAGAGAACGCGCTGGCAGCAGGGAAACAGAGGTGATCCAGAAGGAATGTCTGCTCAGCACTGGCAAGGACACACTTGTAGTGCAGTATCCTGTCCTGGGCTCCCCCAGCCAAAAAGGCGGGGACTTAATGGAGTGAGTCCAGCAAAAGGCCATGAAGATTAAGGCACTAGAGCATTTCTCGTAAGAGGAAAGGCTCAGTGAACTGTGACTCTTTAGCCTGAGAAGACTCAAGGCAGGGGATCTCATCAATGTGTATAAACACCTGATGGAGGGAATGAAGAAAAGGTAGTGCTCGCTGACAGCACAAGGGACAGTGTGTCATGGTAAAATGCATGAAATTCCAACTGAACACAACACTGTTTCCTGTGAGGTTGGTCAAGCACTAGAACAGGTTGCCCAAAGAGGTTATGGAGTCTCCATCAGCGGAGATATTCAAAACCTAACTGGACACACTCGTAAGCAACCTACCCTAGCTGACCCTGTACTGTGCAGGCATGGTGGACCAGATGATCTCAAGAGGCCCTTGCCAACCTCAACCATTCTGTGATATAATAACTAAGGTATTTCCACTGCCACAGAGAGATAGGGTGAAATTTTACACTCGAATCTATGTAACATGAACTGCATTATGATGAAGGTTTTATGTATCATGTATTAAACTTTCTTACAGAAGAAATACAAAACAGTGTTAATAAGCAAAAATGAAAGTCAATTAAGAAGACACAGTATCTTAATTACTTTAATAACAGTATTTATAGGCACTATTTCAGCCTTGACAAGAACTGTTCCTGCAAGACCCATTAAGGATAAAGGAGTGATGCCATTATACTCATTTTTCAGATGCAGAAGCACCTATTCTTAAATGTGATGACATTTTTTATGAAAAATACAATAAATCCAAACCAAAGTAAAAAAATTGTTAAATGCTTATGGATTAGTCACTGTACGAATTGCACAGGAACTGCCCAATAACCTGGACAAATCCAACAGAAGGTGGATTTGTCACTTGAGGTGACTTCCCATAAAATAACGTAATAGAATCTGTAATACCAAACTTTTCATTTAGCAAACACTGCCTTCAAAAAAGGCTGTCTCCTTCTCTAACACAGTGTGTCAGCAGGTATATGCTTCTTCACCTTGCAACATGCAGAAAAGGACCATAATGAATGCCCTGGTGGAGAACAGCTGGGCCATCTTCTGCGGTTTTACCTAGCACAATGAAGTATCAATTTCAATTAGCTGGTAATCTACACACCACACCCAACTCCAACATCAAATACGACTTGAAGATATACTTTCATTAATATATTTGCAATATAACTGCATTAATACATGACTGTAGTTTACAGTATCAAAAAATAAATTTACACACAATTAAAAAATAAAAACTAGTTCTCTAGAGCTCTGAGCACCTTCTTACTCTATTTCTCTCTTCAAAGTCTAACACCTTATTTGTCACTCCTTTTATATTCTTCTTCCATTGCTATTGAAACAATATTGTAGCATTTTAATGATCACTAACAAGTGGGTAGACATTTTAAGGGAGATGTAAAACCACTCTGTGTTAACACAAATCAATAATGCATATTTTTGTTGGTTTTGGGGGATAAGGGAGAGAGAGAGGGGCAAGGTCACCTGATATTTTAATGCTTGTCATGGAAATATATTTTAAATGTTGACAGGAGAACATTTGTAGTGTGATCTACTTATCTCTTATGCACAATGTCAGGGAAAAGAATAAAATTATCATCCCCAACAGATATTTTAATAAAGTTGTATTACAAGGTCCAAAACAACCGTAACTTCCAATTTAAACTGAACTCTATATTACCACTTCAGACATGACTGTTTTTTCCCCGGTGTCATTCTGATTCCATGGCCTTTTTGTGGGCTATAAATACTGAGAACCATATTTGCAGCTAATTTTATTAGCTCTTTCTGCCTCCTTTTCATGGACTTCTGGAAACAATTTTCACAAGTAGCTATTAATGAACAGAAATTCGAGAACAGCACAACTGCCTGTTCTTAACTATTTGGAAGTGTCCTAACTCTTGAGGACAGTCAGCTACAGTTGGCATCGAAGAGAGGTGATTAGTATTGGCACCAGGAGGAATAGAAAGAGTATTTATCCCTGTGAACAAACCTTATTATCACACTCTTTTAAAGACAAGAGTTTACGCTCTTGAACATAATTCTAAGGTTAGGGATTTCAAGTTCATATCAACACGTAGGTTATGAAAGATTTGTTTGCACATTAGTATTTTGTCAAAAGGTGTTTCCTTGAAGCTTTACATTTTCATTAAAAGATCTAGTTTACATTATTTAACACAAAAATTACGCTACAGTTAAGAAGCTGGGTCACAAGATTACACAGTAAAACAGACAATTTAAACTGAAGTAATCCAGGAAATGACATCTCCTCTGTCTCAGCCTCACAGATAAGTCACTTCAACTAGGAAATACGTTATTAAAGGGATTTCACTGTTCGCTTCCTCTTTCTGCTATTACAAAAGGCTCAGAAGCTAACAGGCCAAAAATAGCAGCTTCCAAACAAATGCACTGTTGGTAAAGACAGCTCTGCCCCCATCAGAAGCCTTTTGCTCATGCAAACATGCCAAAATGTTTCCCACAAATTGTTTTCCAAGAGAAAAGTCCAAACTTGGTATTTTTGCAACATCCTTGTACACCAGGACAAGAGCTCCTGGCCAGTCTTGGCAGCAGCCACCACCCCTAGGGACATCACAGGAGCCTGGCTTTCCCAGCAAGCAGCCTGTAGTGTTACAGACATGCATGAACCAAAGGAAAAACAGGCAAGAGAAGTTCATGAGATACGGGAACTAAACGTTTATGTTCTCCTGTGACAAAAGGGACAGCAATAGGAAAGAATAATGGCAGCTTCTCAATAATAAGTTCAATGTTAGTTCCAGCCAATCCCACTGAAGCCCTAACCGAATTAAATCATGCTGTGCTGTTAAATATTTCTGAAATTGAAACATATATTTGAACCTGTCTAACACTGATATGCCCATATAAACAGGGTGTCACAACAGCTTTGGCTACTACATCCTCACTTTCACAATGAGAAAAACATAAAACTCAGAATGACTGAAAAGTAAGATGACTGAACAGAAGAGGTATCAGCTTCTT